GTTCAAAAACAGCACTAACATCCTCCAGCACACACCCTCCTAACCACCTCCCTCCGCTCCCTAACCCACCTAACACGCACCCACTCCATCTGTACCGTGCTGGTAAACGGCGCGATAACTCCTCGTCCCACTCCTGGCGGAGGGCCCGTCGAACCCCCTGTCCAAGGCCCAAATGCAGAGCCTGGTAGCGAGCAACCACAGGCACGGGCACTGCATAGGGCAGAGCCTGAACCCCACCCCTCGATCTTCGCCTCAAACACGGCGCGGCCGGCGTTGGGCCGCACGTTCCCGTTCCTGGTCGATGTGCATGTTTTTGTGAGCTGTTTGCCGAAGGGGAGGAGGGATGCGGCTGTTGTGTATGGTGGCGGTGGTGGAGGAGGGAGGAGGGCGGAGATGGCGGAAATGGTCAATGCGGTCGAGGTACTGACGGACCGATTTGGGGAGAGGGTGGGGAGGTGGGGGGCGTTTAGGGTGGGGGATGAGGGTGTGGAGGTTAGGGGTGTGTTTTGAGCGATGGTGGCTGGATTGGAAGAGACGGTGGGTGCTGGGGAGGCAGTTGGTTAGGAGGGGAAGCTGGATGTTTGCGGTGAAAGTAGGGGCCAGGGGATGAAAGGTAGATGCCGGTCTCGAGACTCGACTGGGTTGAAGGATCACACTCACGGGGTGCGGAGACGAGATGGCGGTATGAGACTGTACGGTGAGCTCATGGCACAAGTCCATCGGCACAACCGCCCGGCCATATCATCCCCAATGACACTCCCAGAACCACTACCCCAGCAAATGCGTGCACCTCCTCCTCCGACATCGTCTCACCGCAACAATATCACCGGTCCGCTTGTTCATGCCTTTCACAACCCCAATTCATTGATGTGGTATATACAGCCCCTGCCCTTCCCATTCCCTCTGCGGTCTACGCAACTCCATCGTCCCTCACACTCGGGATCACCCTCGGCCGCTTGATGTCCTTCTCCGGCGCAGGCGCATCCAGCAACCCTAAACTCCTTATCTGGCCCGCCGACGGCGCATCTTCGCGCGGGTGCGCAGCCTGCGCTTTTCGGTAAGCGGCTTGGAGGGCGCGGGTTTTGGCGGCCTTGGGATTTGTGTCAGCTTCGAGTCCTTTCAATGTGGCTAATGATGATGAGGTTTGTTCGGCGATGGTACCTCCTTCTTGTGGTGCAGGCACTCATAGTAGTCGTCGAGGACGGGCGTGCATTTCGCCTTTCCGGAGTCGTCATCGGTGGAGGTGTTGGTGACGTAGCAGGCGAGGACTTCTTGCCAGAACGGGAAGCAGCGGGAGGGCCCTGCGCGGTGTCAGTATCTTTTCTAGCAGTTGTGTAATTGCCTTGGGCGCTCTAAGGGTCTGTGTTGAGTGGTTGGAATGAGGTCCGGATGGATGTGAGCTGCGGGCAGGTGCAGGAGGACAATTGGGCGGAGCAATGGGAGGATGTGAGCGAGGAAGGTCGTACCACCGGCTAGGCCGTAGCCTGAGGACATTGTAGGTGGTGGTAAGGGTCTCTGCGGTTGTGGTGTATGAGCTCTGAGCTGTGAGATCGCTCAGGTATGTATCGCGCACGTGATCTCTGTATCGATAGTTAGGTGGTTGACGGCATCCGAATCCGCTCCCTGCCCCGAACGTCCTGGATCTCCTGGTGCTTCATCCGTATGCCGGGAAAGGACCTTGAAGCAGAGCTTACCGTCTTTTGAGGTCACGTATCACCACTTCCAAGCACACAGGATGTATTCACCGTTTCATTTGCCGCCATTAGAGGATCGCAAACCTCAACCGGCAACCACTGGTGCGCCTTCCGATGCCCCGCGAGGGCCCCCCACTATAATACGCCTCAGAGCTTACTGCTGCAGTCGGGGTGATCTTTTGTTTAGTCTTACAGTAGCTGTTCAGAAGCGCTTTGAATATATCGTGGTAAGTCTACCAGTATCCGTGTGTATATCCTTTGCTTGCCTGCTAAGACATCCGCGCAGTATTGACGTCGTTTTGTGTACTATCCTGAACTATACTCTCGCTTAGACACGATGACCGAGAGTGCCGTTGCGAACGGCGATTCGAAGTCGGCTTCCAAGTTCGATACGACCTTCACTCAGAACGTTATCAATGCAACGGGACCTAAAGCCTCGCCGCGCATACGGCAGGTGATCGGAAGCGCCATACAGCACCTCCATGACTGGGCACGAGAAAACGAGCTCACAGTCGACGAGTGGATGGCAGGAGTGGAACTTGTATGATGCTCTTCCTCGCATGCTCGTCAGCTGCAACGCCCGTAATTGACAAACAACCAGATCAACGAAGCCGGCCGCATGTCGGACGACCGCCGCAACGAAGGCCAGCTTGTCTGCGACGTCCTAGGCCTTGAATCCCTTGTCGACGAGATCACCTACAAGCTTGCCACAGACGCCTCCGACGCGCCGACCGCAAGTGCAATCCTAGGCCCCTTCTGGCGGAAAGACGCTCCTCAGCGCGCCATGGGCGACACGATTGTATCTGGCATAGAGAATGGGGATAACACATGGATGCACGGCCAGGTGACGGATTACCTAACGGGCAAGCCGATTGAGGGCGCGGAGTTGGATATATGGCATACGGCGCCCAATGGGCTGTATGAGCAACAGGATCCGGACCAGCCTGACATGAACCTCAGGGGTCGGTTCACGACAGGGAAGGATGGGAAGTACGAAATCTATTGCTTGAGGCCGACGAGCTATCCGATCCCGTTTGACGGCCCCGCTGGGAAGATACTTCAGCTGTTAGACAGACACCCGTACAGGCCGGCGCATATACACTTTATCGTGAGTCTATTCTATGCTACTGTCTGTCTGTGGGACCGTAGTGACTGACTCCCTTTCGTAGGTCACTGCGCCGGGATACAAACCAATAGTGACTCAGATTTTCGATCGCCGCGATAAGTACATTACCGACGACGCTGTCTTCGCCGTCAAGAACTCCTTGATAGTGGACTTCGAGCCGCTCAAGGGCAACCCGAAGGCGGACTTTGAGCTCTCATATGACTTCAGGCTGGCGACCTACGAAGAAGCAAAGAACAACTCGCTTGCCGGTGCGACAGAGGTGACCACTGCTGAAGGATGAGCTTTGAGCGTTGCGCATTTGAGCTTTTCGGGAAGCGTTCGGCAAGATTATGGGTTGCTTCGAGTATCTGCGGCCAGAACCCCTAGGCTAGCTTTTGATAAATCTTGTATACATACTTTCGTGATGTTCAATGCCATCTTGTGTCTCTGATATTGATGTGATGGTCCAGTCTCCTCCGACTTCGCTGCAGTAAAGCCGTATGTAGCCGAGGTAACTCGTCACTGCAACCAAAACCTCCGCCGCGCCCTCCATAGCCTCGGACAGAGGACCAGAGATTCTTCATGACCTCCAATCGGTGAAATGTTTGATAATCCTCGGAGCACCAGTCTCGTGTAGCTTGCACGTGGCGTATGCCCTGCATTTTTCGGGTATTGCGGAGAATGAGTGGAGACTGATGGCCAAGCAAGGGCATGCGACTCCTCCAAGCAATATTGATCCTCCGCTGTTATCCTAACCACCAAGCTTGAGGTATCTGCTCGATTGCTACTTGTATCACTCAAGCAATCTTCACTGCTGTCATCATTAGCTGTTCTCTTCCGCTTGCTGCTGTTATTGAATGACGCACTTGCAACACTAAGCAAACAAATTGGCTGTACTTTCTTTCATATATCTTTCATCGTGAATCTTCTACAAGTCAAAGTCCGTCTCCAATCGTCATGGCAACTATTCCCTTAGGCCGCTACCTCTGGGAACGCATAAAGCAAGTCGGTGTCTCCACAATCCTGGGCGTCCCCGGTGACTTCAACCTCGACCTCCTAGACCACATCTACGACGTGGAAGGTCTCCGCTGGATCGGCAATGCGAACGAGCTTAACGCCTCTTACGCTACGGACGGGTATGGCAGAGTAAAGGGTGTCCCGGGGGTCATGGTGACTACTCACGGAGTCGGCGAGCTGAGCGCGCTGAACGGCGTCGTGGGCGCGCATGCGGAGCAGGTCAAAGTTATCCATGTCGTTGGGCAGACGCCGCGGCTGTTTCAGGAGAAGAGGATGTTGATCCATCATTCTATCGATTCAGACCCAGATCATGGGGTAGGCAATTCTATTGACCACGGCCAGGAGACGCAGAAGCTGATGCTTGGTATCCAGGTATACAAAAAAATGTCTAAACCAGCGCGCGTTGCAGAGGCTGAGCTGTGGGATGCCCAGAAGGCACCCGCTGAGATTGATGTGAGTACCTGTGGACATGGATAGTCTTCGCATGTCTGATTGGCGTGGCATAGCGCGTGATCAGAGAATGCTTCATCCAGTCGCGGCCGGTCTACATATTCTTTCCGCTGGACATCGTAGCCGAGCACGTGCCTGCAGAGCGGCTGAAGACTCCCATTGACTTGTCACTACCATTCGAGGCAAAGAGCCAGGATACAGCGATTGAGGCCATCACGCAAGCGCTGGGATCCTCAAAGAATCCGGCTCTTTTCGTGGATGCACTCACCCACCGCCACGGCGCCCAAGACGAGGCCAGGCGATTGGCAGATAAGCTGAAGATCCCTATCTTTTCTTCAGGCATGGGCAAAGGCATTGTCGACGAGACTCATGAGTGCTTCGTTGGCATTTACAGCGGCAAAGTATGTGCACCAGGCGTGGGAGAGGCCATCGAGGGAAGTGATCTGGTACTCCTACTAGGCGACATTCCCGCGGACACGAACGCTGCTTTCTCCAGGAAACTTCGCCCGGAGACGACTATCAAAATAAACCCAACAGACGTCGACGTAAGCAAAACTACCAACACCAGTGGTAACCGTACGCAAAGGGATGATGCCCAGTCACTAATATCCTCCAGGTCAAAGGCAAAACTTACGCAAATACTCACATTAAACCCCTCCTCGCCCGCCTAGCCGAGACCCTCCAGCCCATGAGCGTCCCTATGCCGCAACTCCCGCCCCCCCAACAAGACCTCGCAACCATCGACCCGGCCAAGCACATCACTCAGAAATGGATCTGGCCCCGGCTCGCCTCCTTCCTCCAGCCGCACGACATCCTCATCGCCGACACTGGCACGGCCTCCTACGGTCTCGCCGCCGTGCCCTTCCCGCAGCGCGACGTGACCTACATCACGCAGACCTACTATGGTAGCATCGGCTACGCCACGCCCTGCACTCTCGGTGCGGAACTCGCACGCGATGAACTGCACCGTGAGCAGGGCATGCCACGGGGGCGGACTATCCTGGTGACCGGGGATGGAAGTCTAGCGCTCACGGTGCAGGAGATTAGCACCATGGTCGCGGTTGGGGTAAAGCCCATCATCTTCATTATCAACAATGGCGGGTATACGATCGAGAGGGTCATCCATGGCGCCAAGCAGCCGTACAACGCGATTCCGCCGAGTCAGTACCAGTTCCTGCTGCCGCTGTTCTCGCATCCGAGCCCGGAGAGCTCGTTCTGGCGCGTGAGTACGAAAGAGGAGATGGAGAAGGTGCTGGAGGACGAGGCGTTGAGGGCGCCGGATTCGGTCAAGATCGTGGAGGTCGTGATGGAGGTTATGGATGCGCCGGAGGTGTTGGTTAAGCTGGTGGCGAGCAGAGGACCGGCGTTTGAGAAGTATCTGAGGGAGAACGGGTTTATGGAGTGATTTTCTTGGTTATGCTTGGAATAGTGCAAGTGTGGGGATTTGGGACTTATGCCACTGAAAGAGGATAGATACAGAGACTATCTATACTTTGCTAAGCGAGATAAGGTAGCTGAAAAATACCAGTGAGATACAACCAGAGGACGCTTTCCGCCGCGTTCGAGCAGTGTGACTCATCCCTAGAGTGAATCAAAAGATTTGTCATTGCAACTGACCCTCTAAGCAGGTATCCGAACAGCCTTCTGAACCCCTGCTTCATCTCGTTACCCATTGCCGCATGCTGCACCAGGAGGCCTTCGTCGTCCCGGAATGCGGTCATCTCCTGGCAATCCTAGGGGGCAACTGGTTTCGCACTCTCGCTGATCGCTACTAATCATACCTTGATCTCGTCTCGTGAAAAGGAGTTGCAGCTCTCAGCTCCTCCCCGGTCGCCTTGTTTATTGCTCGGAAGGAGACGCATAATATTTGCAAGCATGACTGATTACCAGCGAGCTCACGACTGCGGACGCCATACTAACCGGGGTGCGGCTGGTGAAGTTTGGCTTGCACATCTCCTGTTAATCTGAGAGCACCATGTTATAGAAAATGCCATGTAAAAATGGCTACGTATTTCCCTAAGCTCATAACTGACGGCGTAGCACTTCGCTGCGGAGAGTACTGTATAGAAATAGGTGTATGTCTCCTAATTATTAGAGAGTGTGATGAACCTTATTTGAACATTACGTCCTTGTAGTGATGTTATCTCCGACACGTCAGGTGATTAAGATTTGCTAGTCGAAACTCTTCTTTCATAATACAAAGTGGAAGCTTTAGGGCAACGGTTAGTTGCAACTCATCCAAAGATATCACATGGTAATGCCGTGCCAAACTATATCCAGGGCTTGCTTCTTTAAGCCTGCTGTACGAAGGTAAGTCTGTCAATCTTGCGCTGCCAATTTGCCACCATCTTACAAATGTGCAAGGGGATTCGTAAACGACCATCTTCTGTATAGAGAGACTGCCTTTATTTGCCAGCAACCCTGCCTCCTTGCGTCCTCTGCTGTACTCCGCCGCAAGCACTACATCTTAAAGACGCCTTGCCACTTCCACCACCATATCGATCCAATCTGCCTGGGCCTACTAGCAGAACCCGAGGTTCTACCGCTCATCTCAGATAGTTTCCCGGTCGCGGCTGGTGAATGGGTTAGAACTGTCGTACTTGCTTTCACTCCGGAATGGCTGGCTTGGGATGTGCAAGTGCCCGGGGTTCGATGGTGGCTCGGTCGCTTCCATGTGTTCGGATATGAAGTTGTCCATGACTCGATCGCACAACTTCCAAATTCGCCATTGGTTCAGGTATTGGCTCTGAACAGATTTCGTGTCAGAGAAGGAGATGGCTTCGAGTCTGTTGTACATCGCTACGGCACCCTGATGGAGCAGTCAGCCTTTTTTGCTCAGAAACCTCTACCGACTTACGGATTGGGCGGCAGAAACGTGTGTACCTGATCTAGGTAGATTCCACCAAGTGCATCGACTAGCTTGCCTTGGTTTTTGTAGTTGTTCTCCCCAAAAGTGACAATCAGGTTCTTCTTCTCGCTTCCCACCCCATTCATTGAAGGCTGAATACCTTCCGCTGCCATCACTTGTTTGAGCCCATTCATTATTCCAGAGATGGCCTCCTTCTGTCCGTGAATTATGCCAGGGACCATCCAAGGTTTGTCCTTGAAATCGGTGATTCTCCATTTGGGGGCCGGCTTGTTGATAACGTATGCGAACTGCACCGTTGTTTCGTGCATGCGGTTTGTTATATTCCTAAGATAATTGGAGGTGCCATCTGCGCTTAGCAGTTCTACGGGGAACCATGTAGTGTTCTTCGGTTCTACAATGTGGATGACCGTATCACCAGCGGGCTGGGGAGTCTTCGAAGATACAACGTCTCCGGAGTGGTTGGTATTGCGGTCGAAATGGTGGCTAGACGTGGCTGGACCCTCGACTTCGTGACCCTCTGGCTTACGTTCTCTTTCGTGATCCCTGAACTCTTCCGCAACGTCCAAAGCATCGGCGCCGTCAAATCCCTCGTTAGCCTTCTCTTCTCGTCTTGATTCCTCGCGACCATTCCCTTCTCGTTTTGCTTCCTCCCGCCTTTCCTCTTCTCGTTTTGTTTCCTCTCGCCGCCTGTCGATCTCGTGGGTTCCCTTCTTCTCTTTACGGCCACCTCCTATCCCAAAATACTTCTTCATTGAGTACGACGATTCAATGGGTTTGTGAAAGGTTGAATGCTGAAGCTAATTTTTGACTACCAGCGTGCAATTGCCAGCACAGATTTGAATTATACAACGAGATTCACACGGGACAGACAAATGTGTACAAAACCAACCGTCTTCCGTCTTCAAGATTAGTAATCTAGACTGTGTGTTGTTCAAATCCCATTAAGCCATGCATGTTGAGGCTTGATTAGAACTGTTCTAGGTTGCTTTTTCCCTGCCAAGGAGGCTATGGCTTGCAGGATGCGGAGCCTAGATGCTTGTCCAGCGCTTAGTTGGCTTGTAGCTCGCATATTTGATTCGTGACTATCCTGGACTAACATGCCACAGCTTTGGTGAAACCGAACGTGAGCTGATGTTGATGCCACAGCTCTCCGCGGGGAGGTTGGGCCTGGGCTGGACTCAGCGAGGGCCGCACAGATGGAAACCCTAATTTAAACAACCCCACCAGCAAAACTATTGATCTTGGCAACCCAATCCTGAATGAGCACACGATACTCGACTCTAATGCCAGCTAAAGAGTTAGCGGCAACATTTCAGCTGGTCTGGGCATCTGATCTGAGCTAGACATGCATGAGCTGCATGACACTTCAGCTAGCCACCGCCATATGCAGATGCCGGTACCGGTCTCGATTTATCGCGTAACTTGGGCCGGAATCGGTGTTGTATGGCTGTAGGCTTGTAGCAGGAAAGGTCTCAGATAACTCCAAAGAATATTTATAAGTAGAGAAGCCAATGTAATCTTAGGATTCAGAGTGGTCACTTTCGCTTGGCTTTAACTTCCCTTCTGTTCAGAACCTCACAGTGGGGAGATCACAGAACGTAACAGGCGCCTTTACAGAGCATTCCACCCCAGCTGCGCTGCGAAATATGGGGGTACGATCTGTGGAACAGATACGAAGAGACCACCAGGTAACCCAACTCAACCAACCGAGATGCGAAGTGCTCCAACTTCCATGTTATTCGGTGCAGGCATTCTGGTAGTAACACAAACTGACCAGATACGACTAACAGCAAGATGAGGACTTCTACCCCGAAAACAAGCCACCACCAGCTCGCGAGAAGATAGAGCTTGACGATGCTATTATTGGAGCTTGTTCGACTCTGGCGTTTGCGGTTCCTGGCGGGATAGGCGTTGCGGTTTCTGCCGGAATATCGTTGGGCTGGGTCATCTTCCAGAACACGGAGCTGGGAAAGTTGACAGATGCTACCTCCAAGTCCGTGCTCAAAGCACAAGACAGCACCTACGATGGGAAAGATCTCCAGAAGATCAACAACCGGATTCGTGAGACGATTCACTGGCTTTCCGACAACCAGAAGAGCTTCTTGAACAAAGATATAGACGCAGCCCAGCTCAAGCGCCTTTCGGTATGTTGTGATCAGGAGATGCCTACTTGTAGGACGCTGTTCTAATCATGCGTAGGAGGATAACCTCAAATGGTTAGAAGCCCAGGAAAAACCCGATGCCAGCCTGTTATCCATCATAAACGAGCTAGTCGATATGTGGGGATCTTGGTTCGATGATGCAATTGAGCAGAGCCTCGCGCACGCGCTGACGTGTTATTTCCTGGCCTTCAATCGTCGATGCTGGATCTATGCTCATCAGGCGCGCCTCGCGCGTTCGAAAGCCATCAAAGGCGATAATGACGGCTACAACACTGCCGTTGCCGCTCTCAATGATTGTATCGGTCGGATGAAGAAGGAGTTAAGCAGAAAGGAAGACCGTATCAATGAAAAGATTAAGGAGTTCAAGGACGATCGAAGCAACTCATTCTCTGATATGTACCGCGAACAATTAGAAACAGATATGAGTCCTATCCAGGAGACTACTGGTGGAAAATTCGCACTTGGCCCTGTTCAGCGGAGGGTATGGAAATTCAATGACGAGACAGCTGGTAGGGCACACGCATTGGTGTACGAGGATCGTAATGCTACAGAGGCATTCTTGGTCTTTGGGTACAACTATGAGTGGGAAGAGAAAAAAGCCAAAGCACGGGACTGCTACAACGACTGGAAGAAAAAGCTTAGCGAGCATATCGAGAGACACTACATTCTTGTACCCAGAGTCCTCGAGGTATGCAAGCAGTATCTGTCCGAGGCGGAGAAGATCCTGGATCCAGTGGGACCGCTGCCGACACCCATGATCTTGGTGAGTTTGTAACGGCTGCCTCGACACAAAACATCTCTAACCAATGCTCCAACAGGGTCACGCAAAGCTCTCTGAACCCGACACAAGACTCAGCACAGAAAACGAGTACGCTTACTGTTATACCATCCAAAGAGACGGATCATCTCCAACAATCAAGAGCCCTTGGCTGTCATGGATAGGTATTCCGGACCCGCTATCGTCGCCCAAGATCCTCCTTGAGGACGGCAGGACGCCAGCTACCACCATCAGGAGAGTTTATCGAATGGAAAGGCCCAAAGGAAGCTCAATCAATGTTACAGATGAGGAAGAGGGGGAGGAGGTGGATTCGGTCGAGGCTGCTGGATTTCGTGTTTGGGCAGATTGTGATGCAGCCACTGATGCTGAAACATGAGAACCTTCCCGCCAGTGTAGCAAACATGAGTCGAGAGATACAACGTGATGCTTCATCATGGCGCCTCCCGGATAATAGAGCTGACTTTCCCGAACGTGGTTTATATGTCTTGGATGCCGTGTACGACCGACGCATGAAAGCGTTGTACTGCCGGATGGATCCTTATCACTTTCATCTGAAGTCAAGTATTTCGTTCATGCCGTAATACCATTACAGCTCCAGCACAGTCACAACTTGATCTTAGTACAACAGATCATGGAAGAGTGACATGCTCGGACTCGAGAAGTATGTGAATGCGGAATATATGTGTCACCATGACGTAAGCCCTCGCTATGGCGGACTGGTCCTAGACAACTCTTATAGCGGCCATCAGCGTCGCGGTAAGTGACCCATCGGTCTAGCGCCACAAGCACAACGTCCGATGGCACCCGTAGGGTTCGGCACGGATTGTGAAGATGCGACCAGAAGTATGGCCCAAGCGCTTGCCTCTCTTGTTCTGTTGGGCATACCTCGTCGGCCGCTTGGACATAGAATTCCATGCTGTCCCGGAGTTGTAAGAAGTGATTTGCATCCGCTTGGCTTAAAGCAACCTTGCGCTGGAGGCCTACTTGGTAGTCCACGAGAAGGGTATACAAGAGGAAATTTCGTAGCCGTTGCACCTCGATGGGCGAAGGCTCGCCGAGGGGTGATCGGGCCTGGGTAGATAGCGTGGTCTTTATAGTCTTGAGGATCTCTTTTCCGCTGTCTTCATCGGCTGTTGCATCATAGCTCGGCGGCCTCTCGTCGGCTTGGATTCGAGACGTGGACGACTTGGGCTCCATTGCAGGGGTGAGACAAATTTGACAATTGGCGGAATCAGCTCGCTGATAAAAGCTTATATCGTGGTGTCTATTGAAAGGTACCAACTCTTGCAGGTACGAGGAGATGGAAGAGGGAGGATACATACTTCAGTTTTTGTTCGTACAGGCTTATTGCCTTGATAAGCTTCTCGTTGAACCACGTATGAAAGGGGCCTTTGGGGGTTGCTGACCTTGGCGCAACCATGAATCAACAGTAAAACTCCCGACAAAAGAACCAGTTTCAATGCCGTTCTTGCCGTCCACGAGTGTGACAATAGGATAGTCAAATCACATACGAGGAAAATTTGACTTACGATAATCGTAGCCTCTACGGTTTCTCATGGGGCCGAAACTGTTCCGGTACGGCGGTACCATGGACCGTTCCAAAGGCTTCCCGCAGTGTCCCATGGTAGGTATGCTTACGCTCCCCACAGCTTGGCTGCGCGGCATACAAAACGTAGGAGCTGCCTCGGTCAGCGAAGTGGTAGGACACCCCGCTCGAAGCAATAAACACGTACATAAATACTTGACTGATTCATCTCTTCTAGCAGAAGTATCTCCTCACTGCACACCTATGCAGCGGAGATCTATCCAACGTGGTAAACTAACCTTACCCCACCATTCGACGCCAGAAACCTCTGAATGAACTCAAAATGGCACACATAACATCTGGACTTCCGGATCATAGCGACGAGCAGCCCCCGCCCTATGCAGAAGCACTTAATGAAGTGGCTTACGCTGAAGCACTTAACGAACGTTACGCATCATGCAGACACGGGATGGAATGTAAAGCACAGCAAAGACAGGAAACACAAGACCGCATGCCCTGGCAGCGGTTCAAATGTTGGTTCTGGGAGAAGATGATCAAAGCGGATATCAAGCGACGTGCGAGACAAGCTGGAACCACAGCAAGTACGGATAAACCGCGGACGGAGAGATCAAGGACGCCAGCACCTCAAGCACCTCGGACGGCTCAAATATTGCAATCGCCTCGAATTGCGCAATTGCCTCAGATGACGCCAATACCACCAACGCCTCAATTGCCTCAAATGCCGACAGTCACACCGGCGCAGGGATTACGGAGAATCTGCAACGAGGACACTCCATCTCCTTCTCGACCGACGCGGGAACAAGCGAACCGCACCGCCAACCGGTCTAGGGGAGCTGCAGCTGATGGGCCTACTCTTCGCAAACAGCGGACGGAGATACGTTACGGACGTGATGAGAGAGGTAGAGTCGTTTGGCGTAGGGTAAGCATATGGGAAGAGTACTGGCCGAGTGTACATGAGTGATGGAGGGCAAACGCGTGATATCTGTTAAAGGATTTAAGGGCGGGTTCGTGAGCACGTCGCGGAGTTGTCGAAGCGATCGGCAAGTTAAGCATTTGTCTTTTGGCGGACCTCCAGCCATTGAAGTAAACAGTTCGGAAGCTGCAATCCGTACGCAGGGGACTGATTACGATGCTGGTTATGATTGAGATCTGCCGAGGAATGTCGATCAAAGCGCCTGCTGTACGTTTCGTGACGCCTGTCTCCCGCATCAACATGCTTCCCGAACTCAGTCGAGTCACTTTCCGGTGACTTATAGTACTAAGACGGAACCGTATTTGTGCCGGGCGTGATAACGTCGACATGCTAAAGCGTAGACGTCCGAAACGGTGGCGTAAAGAGCCGCGTGGCGGCGGAAATGTTGTAGTCCTGTGGATTATTAGCGGTATCGGATGAAGTTAAGAGTGCGGCAGCAGCTTGATCCGCAATAGAGAATACCTCTCGATCTATGAAGCGTTCCTGTAGAGCTGCAGCCTCTTTCCCAATCCCTATCAGCATGCTGTTAGTGTGGGGAGTTGGCAGAATTGGACAAAGTGTGTAAGGTCGGAAAAGAACGAACTCGTCGAGTTCGCGGCCGTTCCCCTGCAGAATCGGCTTTTCAAGCCGTCAAACCTTTAAATTCATGAATCTATTGACATTGGTGATCCGGATGACGTTAACCTTGCGGACGGAGCGGTGAGAGCGAACAAAGCTGCTAGAAGAGGTAAGATTGAGGGTCCTCTACTTAATTGTGCGTGCGGAGATAACACAGCTGACAGCACCGGTAATACAAGGCCTTCTTAGAGGTGGCATTCGGTCGTTGGTCCCTATGGGGCGCTTGGGTGGTAATGTCGTTCGTGTTTGGCGGATAATCTTCTGGTACTTGTGAGGCATCTGCCATTAGATAGGGCTTCGATTGGCAGGAAACCCCGGTGATGGCAAGTTTGAACGGTATCTCTTGTTGAGATGGCTCAAGTTCACCTGGTTGAGTGGAGTCGAAGTCGTGGCGGTGTGGCAAAGTGCTATGAGTTGACTGCTGGATGATTTCGAGCGCGAGAGGGTTTGAAGAGAAACGGAGCTTCGAAGAAATGGCAAGACAATGCTTCGATAATCGGAATGCCGGGCGCACACCATTTCAAGTCCGAGGTGGGAGTGGCGGCTGTAGAGAACTGGCAGGACACTAGCTTCAAGACATCGGATGTGGATATATCCCCTTACCAACTGTGCAGACGCTAGCTTCAATACAGATTGACAGACATACCGAAGAGTCGAGGGATGAAGGCATCAAGGCAAGCGAGTGACGGAGGGTGAAAGTGAGGTAAAAGTGCGACGGAGAGCCAAAAGGGTCTCTGATCTGTTGACGAAAGATGAAATCTTGCACCAGGCTAGAGGTGAGGAAAGCAAAAGCTAACGATGAACGTGAGGGCAAATGGGAGAAGTGAGACCGAGGAGGCCCTGCATGCTCGGCGGAGCTCTGCGACGTGCGAAATGAGGTGACCAAAGGTTGGGGATTGAAGTGATATAAGGTGCCAAAGTAGCTGATGTCCGAGTGGAGCTTGCGGCCTCGTATCGCAACAGGTTCTACAGTTTGATGTTTGAGCACCAAAGAACTTGATGGTACATCAATGTAGCTAAGCAAATGAAGGAGACCTGTACAGACATGGTGTCAGTGCTGTTTGACAAGGATGGGTTGGCGGGATATTGAGAGCAGCGGTGAGATATGGAAAGTAGCGGCGAGATATAGAGCGAGATAGCTGGACGTGGAGCGAATTGGACCAGTCGGTCGCATAGCGGGAGTCGGTGGATATATAATGATGCAGCTGGGCACGGAGCGAATCGGTCGAACGTGAGGGAACGCGAGGACGAGACGGTTCGACGTAAATTGAAGAGCGGAGGTGGCCGGATATGGTTCGAGAACGCACCAAGGTAACACGGCCGTACGAAGAGTAAGGATGAGATGCGAAGAATTTCAGCGGGTGACGCGGAACGAGGGAGTGCAGGTGCTTGGAGTTTCCGAAGAAATCTATACCTGCACATCTTATGAGTTCGAGTTTGTGGGAGAAGAGGAGGTAATTTCACGCCGAGAGAAAACATGTTTCGACCCGGCTACTGCCTCAGCGATTGCCATCTCGATTATTGTTGTTGTACAGGCAGGTTTAGAGGCTTCGGGCGCCGCGAGTAGAAGGAAGGCATATAGCATAGACCGAGTGCACAGTCACGAACGACCATGCCGAAATGATGACTTGTACGGAAAAGCTCTCAGTCGGAAGGATTTAACAGAATCTTCGCAAACCATTGGCCAGTGGACGGTGTACATAATAGAGTGACATCCTCATTATCGTTCACGAGACCTCAAAAAAAAAACGGAACGCATCCTGAAGTTATCCAAACAGATTTACCTGTATGGGTAACGGCACCAACGGAACAGAAAGGTACACAGCTCGAGAAGGACTCGTCTCAAGCGCGTACGTGACTTTTGGAAAAGTGGCTTGTTGGGACATAAGTGCCCTAGTTATCGAGAGATGGCAGTGTCGAAATTTCCCCACCTGCACTCCTGCCGTTGACGCTTCCCATTGAAGACGGTGTTGCCATATACGTAGTTCGCTTCAAAGAGGAGAGCTAAGTCAGGTAGTGATGCTTGGTGCCGTCTACATGTAGGCAAGAACCTGGTGATGCTGACTCAGCACGAAATGTCTCCACGATCACTCGAGTAGTATTGGAGTCTGTTCCCAATTGATCACGTGGGAAATAGTCTTAATGGTAGCAGTTGATACGGTGTGTTGTACGGAGGTCTCTCTCGCCAAAAGTAACCTATTCACACCCTAGATACAGGGACAGGGCCAACTACGTATGTAACCGCTCTTCTAGAGAAAAAACAACTGCGGCAACAGAAAAAGAGGGCAAGGGGTATGAACGAGCGACGACAAAACGCTCACAACTAACATGAACTCCACACGCTGATGCAACTTTGAACAAACACTGCTCCTCGCTCATGGTCCCAGGAATGTGCTGATCGGAATGCAACACCACAATCCTCCCTCCCGTCAACATGTCCTCCAAATCCACAACCTCCCATATCTATCCACAGCATCTCTCAGCATCTTCGCAAGCACTCGTTTCCGCCCCTTCTACTGCGGCGGCGTCCAAAACGCCGCCAACCTCCTCACCTCCATCGCCGGCATTCCCACAACCGCCATGCCCCTCACCATACTCCCTCTTCTCATCCTCTGCAGTCCCACAGCAACTTTCCACCCCTCCGTCTCATCAATCAAAAAGACGTATTTCCGCCCCTCCTGATCCTTAATAGTAGCTCTCAAGACATGCAGCCCACTCTTCTGATCCCCCGCCACACCCCCCGAGCAACTCGCCTTACAACTCCTCAAGAGTTTCTCAACCGCCAAATCCGTATCCTCCGGGCTCAGTTTCCCCGGCCCGCCATTCCCCCCCGTCTGGCCCGAGAAAAACCGCAGCCCCGCGTGCTCCTTGGCTCCTTCGCGCTCGCCGCTCCCCACGGGCAGCAGCCCCGCCGGCGCCTTGGAACAAAAGATCTCGATGCCCTTGACCGTCCACGCCTTGACGTCCCACTCACGCTGCGCGACGTCGCGGACGTCGTCGTCGATGAAGAGGCCCTCGGTCGTCATCCGAAGGATCAGGCCGTCGGTTACGCGGTCCACGCCTGCGACGAGCTCGGCGGCGGGCTTCGGGAAGAGGTTGCTGAAGAGGTAGACGGCTTTGATCACGATCTTGTCTGGGTCAGAGGTTGAGTAGGGCCCGCGGTGGCTGGGGGGCGGGGTTGTGCGGGCGGTCGTGGCGCTGGGGGCATAGGAGGAGGTGTAGGAGGATGAGAACGAGGAGGTCGATTTTGCGTGGTTCGGGCGGGGTTGGGGGGTCGCGGTGTCGTAGGGGCGGAAGGCGGAGGGGGAGTCGGTGCCGACGTAGGACTTTGCGGATGGTTTCTCGTAAGGCACTCTAGGTGGGGGAGCTGCGGGAGCGTATGGGTCGGTGCGTTCGCCGACGCCATAGGTTCTGGTTGAGGGAGGAGATCTTGCGGAGGGGGGAGCGGGCGGCTTAGGGGGAGGTGCTTCTTGCGTGGCTTTCGCTTTGGCGGCGGCTTCGCGTTCCTGCTTTGCCTTCTCGGCGCGCTCGCGGACGGCTTTGAGCCTCTCCGCTCGGTCGGCGTCGGCCTTGGCTTTCGCGGCCTTCTCGGCGTCGGCCTTTGCTCTCTCTGCGTCCTCCTTGGCCTTTGTGGCTGCAGCTTCTGCCTCGACCTTTTCTCGGATTTCCCACTCTAGTTTCTCCCTGGCCTCCTTCTCTCTGGCTTCCTGCTCTTCCCGCAGTTTCTTTACCCGCTCTTGAGCGGTTCGTTCCCGCTGCGCCCGTGCGGCGGCCTCCTTTTCCCGTGCTCTTGCCGTCTCCCACTTCTTCTTCTCCTCTGCGGCTTTAGCTGCCTGCTCGGCTTCCTTTCGTTTCCGCCCTTCCTCCTCTTGCCGTAGTTTCTCCTCCGCTTGTCGCTTCCGCTCTTCCTCCCTCTTCCGGGTCTCCTCGCGTGCCTTCTCCCAACTGGCCGACGAGCTGCGATTGCTCTCAGGCTTTGGTGGTGATTTGGGATCCGCGTCCGGTTCAGAGAAAGGGGGTGAAGGTGGTCGTGGAGGCGGCGGCGGCGGAGGAGGCCATTGCTCGTGCTGGCGCTGGTGGTGACTATGTGGAGGCGGTCCATAACCTGGTCCACCGCCTGGGTTCTGTGGAGGAGGAGGGCCACCGCCAGGGAAGCCACTGCCCGTTTGTTGGTAGCCGCCTGAGTGAGTGTGGGAGCCTGCTCCCGGCCTCGGACTGGCACCGCCTGCTTGACTCCCCCTTGGTCCGTCTCCGCTACCAGCAGCCGGATGCTCGCTCTGAGTCTTGCCCCATGCCCAGCCTGCGATACCGACTCCGATAACCAACAGGACTACCCCTCCACCTCCACCTCCACTGGAGATATTCGACATTGTTGAGGCGAACCATTGCTTGACCACAGGTTCTACAATTGTCCAGACTCCGACGGCTAAAAGTGTACAGGCTACACCTGCGAGAAAGCTGTTCCGTTGCGGCTGGAGAGAAGGTAGGTACAGAAAGCCTCCCCCGGAGGAGTGTGGAGGGATTATGAATATGTCGTAGTTGCCCGGTGGCAGCCCTGAGCCACTCGATGACTTGGGATTCGCGCCGTGAGGGGGTGGAGGCGGCGGAGGTGGGCCATCCATCGCGGCGTCAAGGCAGACGCCGCGGCCTGCTTGGCAGACTTTGGGATTGTCGCCGTATCCAGTGTTTAGTAAGATCTATCGTCGGCCGCGACCTCGAAGTAGTGGTGCTGTGTCGTCGAGCTGCGTGTTGTGGTTGTCGCAAGAGCATGGGTGCGTGCTGCTGTTGGAAGTGTGGTGGCTGGCTTAAAACGGCAGACTAGTCGTCGTCGTCGTCGCGTCGCAATTAGTTATCCTCCGCGTCGATCAAAGAAGTCAATTGCAAAACTCCAAACGCCGTATGCAGTGCTGCTCTGGAAAGAATGTACAGGTCTGCTGGTGAGGCTGGCGGTTGTTGTTGCCCGTATGGTGTCGTTCCGCCGGCGTTGTTTTGGTGACTTTGCCGGGCCAAGAAGGAAATACTTTAGCGCCGCTCGTTCATGCAGCATTCGATCCGACCCGCACCTCCTGTTCGGTGACACACGCGAGAAAAGGCGTGGATGTCAAAAACGGCGGGGCTGTCATCCAGAAGAGAACTGAAAGCTGGAATTTCGATCCATGGTTCGCGGTGGAAGAGGCGTCGCTTTACGAGGCCTTCGTGCCAGAACAGTTGCCATCACAACATTAACCTCCAGCAGCGAATAGAACTCTAGGCTGGAGGCTTTACGTTTCTAGTGGGTGAAGATGTGCGCGCGACTGAGTCGTGCATGCCTTGCGCATGTTGTCGGTGAGCGATTCGCCCAACAGCGCTGGCGGAGCTGCACCTAGCAGCCTAGCAGAAGTCCAAGTCACGATGCAGCTGAAGCGCAGAAGGACGGATTCACCACCACGAACCGCGAAGCCCGACCCACTGTTTTCCCAGACGGCACGGTGCTTCGTCACTGCCAGGGCGCGCGGGGCCAACGTTGTGGCTTTCGGTCCTGCCAAAGTGGCCTTATTGATCCTGTTGTCTTGCCATCCTTCTCGTCCGAAGCGATAAGACAGCTGCTACATACTGAGCATTCAAGCCACATTCAAGCATGTAGATTGTCGTTCGTTTCGCGCAGCTAGAACATCACTCACGTTCAAGACATTGCCTTCCGTCAAAAGGCTTAGAATACACGTCCTCCGTATCTCCATGTCAAACGTCACTTTCGACGATCCCAGTCTCCGTTTCCCTCCCTCTTTCCGTAGCTGGACCGAAGTAATCACTAAAACGATCACCTGGAACTTGACCGGCGCCGCCCTCGCCGGTTGCCTCTCCAATCTCCGCTACGTTCCTCGCGACCGCCAGTGGAAGTACTTCCGGGAGGTTCTCCACTTCCTCTACTCGCCGACCTACCCGACCGGCCAGCTCCTCCTAAATGCCGTAAAGGTAGGACGTTCACTCTGGGACGGAAAACCTCCGGGAGGGGACTGGCAGTACTACTTGAGCTGTGTCGCAGGCATGGAAGCGGCCGTAGAAGAATCTCCCCCTGGCCGCCCACCGACGCGCTTCGTCCCACTCATAGTGGTACAACCAGGCGTCGCCCGGCGTGAGACGCAGCATCGTGATGCATGGTGGGTGGGGACGCTCATCCCGCCGTTATATGTCTTCGCGCAGTGCCTGGGTCAGCTCATCGCCTTCTCCCACCGCTCCGAAAAGGAAGCCATCTGGGCCCTCGACTCACGGAACTTGTTGACAACCATAGGAATTCTCGGCGCGGTGCTCAATACCTGGATCATCAGCATCCCAAATCTGGCCTGGAGTGTCCCCCCGGAAACTGATCCCGAGCCAGTCGCCCCGGAAGGTGAGGAGCTCAGGACGGAAGTCAACGCCTTGCGCGTCGCGTGCCTCCTTATGTTGCTTGTATCCTCTCACTCAGACCATGAGAATGGGAAGATCATACGAGATGGATGGCTCCGCGGATTGAGCCCTGGCTTTGTCGTGGCGTATTCCTTGGTTGCTTTGGGCGTGGGTAGGGAGGTAAGGAACAGGTTGGTTGCGTGGCATTCCAGGGACAGGCCTCCGGTGGAGATAGAGTTTCCAGAGTTTCTGGGGTGTCTGATGTTCCACGCGGGTGGGATTCTACTACTTGCAATTGAGCTGGCTAAGGATGTGGATAAGTTTCAGGGGTGTCCAGAAAGCTGTGTTATTCCGGCGAACAAGAGATATTTCTGGAAAGACCCATGGGAAGCGGTGCTGTTTATTTAGTTTCTTAGCTCGGATTTGCAGGTGCTGCTCGGGATTTGAACTGGGACTGGGTTACCAAGATTTGACCATCAGAGAAATGTGTTGGTAAGATATACTAGCCACAACAAAGACATAGAGATGCACTACTATGATGATTTCGCGCTATGGGTTTGTATAACTGGTTTGAAAACATCTGATCAAACCTCTACTCTACTAGCCAGCATTTCCCTAAACTTAGGCCCGAGCAGCTTGACAACGTCGCTGACGTCCGGCGCCTCTGGCTCCTTCCCCTTGCCCTGGCCTTTCGCCACCTCGACCGATCCGTGGCTCTTCGTCTCCCCATCTACATCTATGGCTCCCGCCTCCCGGACATCCTTGGAAGTCCCGCTCCTTACCGGTCCCTTCGCTGCCAGCGGCGTAATCGGCGTAGCATTCAGTAGCTCTTGCCATTTAGCTAGGTATATGCCCGGGCCGTAGTTTGTATTCTTGCTGCTCGATAGAATTGCCTTCATACGTGCGGCCGAGGCGTCAGAAAGGCTCTTGAGATATTCGGCGTGGGAGTCGAGCTTCGGCAGCACGTCCTTAGCCTTAGATTCGGGAAGGTTGGAGAAGATTGACTCGAGACTGGGCGTCATGGTGCCCGCTCCTCTGGATCCGGCTTTTCGCTCATCGTTGGTGCCTTGTGTGGATGGGCGGAACTGGGAGGCGGCGTGGTGTGCATAGTCCCGGAACCATTGCGCGATCTGTGGACCGTTCTTGCAGACCTGATGCAGAAAGCGGTGGGAGGCACCCTGATGCTTCTTCAGGAGTCTCACGTATTCCTCTACAGAAGGCATTGGCTTCATTCTCGATTCTGTTGACGATTCGTCTCCGGAAGTTGTTGCCGACGAGGGTGCACTGCCACTCTTGGGCTTCTTCTCTTTTCTTACGGTCGGGGGCCTTGATAACTTGATCAGATCGTTCAGAAAGTTCTCGAGATCGGTCAGCGTGGCGCTGAGGTCAACAGCGTTGTGGACGTCGCGGATGATCGGATCGTAGGCGGCCACAAGGTCTCGAACGGCTTGCGTCAGTAAGTCGGGTTGCATCTTGCAGAAGATCTTGGTGAGCTCCTCCCGGTCGCGGATTGAGAGCTGAACCGTAAGATACTCAAGAGCCTTGGCGTACTGTGCCTCCGACACCGAGGACGTATCCAGAGAAGCGGACTCAAAAATGACGGCTACTATTGACTTTTCTTTCTTCTCTGTAGACAAGGTGGTCAGTGAAGGCTCATAGCCGGAATCTAAACAACCTACGGCTGAGCTTCCTGCGCTTCTCATGTTCCTCTCGGCTCAATTTCACATGCGCCTTGATAGAGTCCAGATACTCCTTGCCGGGGCTGTCCTTGCTCTTCTCGAGCTTCAATGCCCGCTTCTGGAACTCCTTAATGTCCCAGCCCATGACGGTGGATATGATTCTGATAGCCGTCAGATCTCGCTAACAGGACCGTCAAAGTCTACATACTGTTGCATTAAATTCATTCCTTCATCGGCGCCTTGACTGATACCCATCCAGTTCGTGAATGTTCCGACACTGACTTTGGCTAGCATAAGCTTCACCATGCCATTGATCATGGTTGCAGCATTGCCGACTCGGAGAGTCTGGCGGATCAGAGTATAGGGAACGAGCTTGTGGACATTCTCAACGGTCCTGATTAGGTACTGTCCGTCCGGAGATAGCACTATCACATGATGTAACAGCGACCCTAAGCTTGTCTGGATCAGATGGTGTTGCAGTCAAGTGGTATGCGCCAGCGAAGACTCACTTGACAATCACAAATTCGTGAGCTGCTTGCACAAGCGACGGGTGCTCCTTGAGGTTGTCTGTCTCTGCGGCCTTCTTGAACAGCACATCAATCAGGTCCCCGTAGACCAATTGCTGGAGGAAGTCGTCCCATGCTTGCACGACATCTTCCGGCTTTGAAGTGTCGTACCTGCGGTCCGCCTGCACCTCGCGAGTCGGAAAGCCACCCAGACAACCCCTTGCAGGATACTCAATCAAGGCCGAGATTGCTGTAGCAAGGGACTTCCGAAGGCCTAAGGCACCCTTGTCGTAGCTTTCGGAGAGCTCTGCTGCTCCAAGCTTCTCTATTATTGTCTGGCATCGCTCTTGCCAAAACGCGTCTGAAACGTCACGCAAGCCCGGAAGCTCTAAAACGAACTTGGAGAGCAGTATTTGCAGGACGGGGGATGTTGATGTGGTTCCCTTGTCTAGCGTGAACGGATGGCCGTATTTGTGGATGGCATCCGGCCACTTGAAGTTTTCTATTTCAGAGTAGGTCTCCCTGTGGGTAAGGATATCAAACAGCGCTCGCGCCTGGTCCGGTGAAAGCACTGGGGACGACATGAATCGCAAGCAATCGGAAGATGCATGATGATTTGCAGTGGGAAAACACAGAAGCGCAAGCGATGCGGTGACGCTGTTAGCGCCTCAGGCCGCCAACTCCATTGCCGCTTGGTGCTGCGTGTCAAGTTAGTTACCTAATTAGGTAACACCGAACTACGAGCCCTCCAACTGCGCAGCAACAAATGTACGAACATGCTTGGGGGTTTCTTCTCAACCCAGCATCATCAGCGGCATCGTAGCAGCAAGCCCGCTAAACTTAGCATCTTCTGTTGCCCAAAGGCGCGGGGCTCGCGAAGTTTGTGGTGGCACTCGTGCCTCATCCCTTGCAGTCGGAGTCACACGATACAAGCACCTCCCGCCCTTCCATCGAGTAAAGTGCCTCATCCAAGCAAGTTTAGAATTCGCACAAATCAGAAACAGGAGGCCGGTTCCCGCTCGAACTAAGGTGGCCAGCGAGGCCTCCCGTTCGTGTATGCAACTCATCCGAAGGCGGGGTTGAGTTACTCGTACATATGCGTCCTCTTAACTCTCAAGGATGGTAAAATTTCCACCCTGGCAGTAGTGTGAGGGGAGGGGGACTCGACATCTATTAAACAGTCCGCTTCCTGCTCTGTCGTCGTCTTTTCATTACAGCATCTCTTCCCCAGCCGTTCTGCATCTTCTGTATCTCAACAGATAGAGCTCAAGAATAACACATCAACATGCGTCTCCTCCAACTACTCTCTATCTTTGCAGCCCTCGCGGCTCTCGGCGTCACCATGCCAACGGAGGAGATGGCGCCCGTGGAGCGAGACGTTGTACGCTTCCGTACACTCACCCTTGATGCCGGATAGTCAAACCTGATACTTTTGCCAGGAACTCGATGCTCGAGCTTGCACCTACTCTTCGTGCGTGTCATCATGCTGTGCTAGAGCCGGCTGCAATGGGTATCTTCACTGTGGAAACTCCAAGGTAGGTCTGGGTCTCATTCAGGTTTCAGCCGGACACGCGGACCGGGACCCAGTAGTCGCGGCGCCACATCATTGAATTACAGCGCTAATAGTGATTCATATAGTGCTCCGCCGGCAAATGGTATGTTCCTCGCCCATGGCTGCTCGGAGGAGATCTCTTCCAAATGGTCGGGGCCGAGCTGAAATTGCTCATAGCGTCTGCAATTGCCGCTACGGCTGATTTTGACGCCGTGGTAATCATGGCTGATTCATCAGCGGAGACTTCGGTCATTGTGATTTCCTTGGAGGAACTCTCAGATAAGAAAAAGAGGAGAAGGAACGAGACGTCGTTGATGTATTTCCAAGATAGTTTAGATAGCACGTCAAAACAGGCGCAGCGTCCCAATCAGCTGTTCAGCAACCAAAATCTTGACAGTGGTGGCACTGTGAACGACGGAAGGCTGTAATCGCCGGAGACTGTTGTCGTCAGAGGGTGTAAAACCTGCCCTTTCGGCGCCGAGTGCACCCAGCACTCGAGTAGTGACCACCACCTTAAGTTGTAGCATTGGACGTGTCTCGTTTAGAATGAACGCGAAGACGACCGACTGACGCAATGGGTTTTTCGGATTCACCGGACGGACTTCGCCTCGAAAGTCACTGATATTCGATTATCTCTCCCCCACAACGCTTATACTTCCCACAGCACAGATCAACGGGCTAAAGCCACAATGCCGACCCACCGCAGCATAACCATTCAGCTGTTTACGCCTCGCGAAACTATAGCACCTGTTCCTGAATTCTCTCAATCTCCATCCACCCCATCAAGTCCCGCCTCGGACAGCGCTTCATCTTCCTCCTCTACCTCAAGCTCAAGCCTGGGTTCCACTCCGACCGCCGAGCTCTCTAAAAATGAGACCATAGTTTCAAGATACATCCCTCACATACCAAACACACAAATTTGGATCCGCTATCGCATCAAGCCATCCCCTTCACCACCTCAGTCGCCAAGAACAGATCCATCCACTGAATCAGGGACGGCGTACTATCTCTTCAAACTCTTCGTCAATTCGGTTCATTTCGTAAGCTGGTGCGTCGGTGAAGAAAACAAGTGGAAGGGCACCATGATGTACGGTCTTTATGAGCTCGAGGAGAACCACGAGTGCACAAGGGAGCTAGATAGGAGGAATTTGTCTTTCCAACGAAGCGCGACTGAAGACGATGTAGTCAGTGATGTGCAGGGTCACTTTGAGATCAAAGTGTTCAGAGCCAAGGGCAGAAAGAGAGTCCCCAGGCAGGTCAATGAATTTGACAAGAGCGAGATCGGGAGACAAACGGGAGGCGGTATCGGGTGAGTAGCAGCATTCATGACGGAGCAGTTCCGTGCTTCTCCAGGCGCTGGCAGCAGTGACATCCCGCCCCAAGATGTGACTGAGCTTTCAAACTGACATCCCCAGTCTTGTCAAAGGCGGTCAAGCAAGGCACCAGCCGCGCCGATTCTACAAGTTCGCCCTCATTGCCCCCGTTGATGAGCCATACGCGACCTTCAGATACTTGTACCGTTCTTGGGGTGCGGCCACCGACCACTCACGCGAACCTTTCGGCTGTACTAACAGCCCCAGATCAGCTTCGTGCCCTCGGCATCACCGATCAAGGAGACCCGTGCAGAGGTTTCTTGTCCGCCGACTCCGCCAGCTCTGCCAGCTCTCTCGTCAATATTACGGCCGCCGACGTAAGGCACGCCAACACACCCGCGACCTGCCTATCCTCATCATCATCTTCGTCGTCTTCCTCTGACGGTGCGCCGAATGACAGTAAGCCTAGCCGCCTGGCCCTCGTTGAACCCAAAGCTGACCAATACACTGCCGCAACAGCAACAACCGCGGGTCATGCTACTGCCGACAAAAACATCACAAACGATCCCTCCCGCTCTTATAAGCGCTTATCCATCCCACCATCCCGCGCCTTAACACTTCTCCCCTCGAGCATCTCGTCCGCGGCCACTAGGTCCACGTCTCCAATGAAGGCAATACCGGGCGCGTACATCGAAAGTCCGGATCTCGAAACTTCCGACAAGCGAGAGTGGCTGCGGCACACGCCCAGCCCGGTCAAGTGGGAGGCAGAGACGAAGGGTTATGGGAGCCCAGAGCCCTAGGCTGTAAGGACTAGGACTACATCGACGGCTTTGCTGAGGGAGGTCGTGGGGAAGATGTTTCGAGGCGACAAAGGGACGGTGGACGGGCGGGCTGGTAACGGTGGGTGATGGGTTCGTGTGTATTGAGGACAGCGGTTGGAACGGTGTTAGGGCTTCATTATGGTGCTATGGATCCGGCGGGCTCTGATGTGGGTTTGTCAATTGGGTGGACTCAAGAAAGCAATCGCCGCCATGTCGTGTAGGAGAGAGGACACAGCGAGGTATGTGGGGATGAAGCTGAGCCGGCTCGTTGAGCATGCGCTGGACGATGTGAGGTTGCTGCCAGGCACTCAGGCACTCAGGCACTCAGGCGCTTAGGCACACATGTTGCTGCGGGGACTCCCTGCAAGATCTGGCAGGGGGCTCCCGGTCCCCCGCATTCAGCCCGTCAGCAGATCGGCCGCGGTTTCATGCAAGACACGGCAGCTGACAGCCGAGCAGCATCCAGTCCGTCCCGTAGCACTTGCTGCCTTCGTAGGTTTCCCCCAATACCTACAGTGCATTTGCACCAGCAGAATGATATATCCTGAACTTTGTCCACGGCCGCAGTGCTGAAAAGTCTTCTTCCCTGAGCTTTCTGTCGTTGTGCTCTTGACCCGCCCTGTCACTCCTGTATGCAGGGCAGTTGTTACTCAAGATGCGATTGTTACCCTGCATATCAGCAGCACCAGCGCTGTTCGCAGCCGTCGCTGAGGCCTCAACCTTAACGCCGCCGGTGCTGCCACTCATTGTCCGAAACCCATACCTGAGTACCTGGTTGGGGAACGCGAGGGACGTGCCGTGGAGCAAATGGCCTATGTTCTATACCGGCCAGGAGGTGAATAATCCCACTAGAGCTCTGGAAGCTGGAGGAAGAGCTCTAGAGTGGACCGGCAAGCTGCCGTGGGAATTGCTGTGCTAACCAAGAGCACCTGCGTAGGTTGGATTCTCAATATTAGCTCATGTACCGGACTCGAAGACGGTATACCCCCTCCTAGGTCGGCCGCAAGACTCGCTCGCATCACCCAACCATGCTGAAGGGTAAGCGACTGGATGGTAGACAGGATAAACACAGGGCTGACCGTGGTTCGTCAGATACAATGTTTCTTTCCCGACCTACCTCGGCGCTAAGTATGACGCCTCTACTACAAATCTCACGTACCATATCCCTGCGCCGAGCAGTAACCCTGGGGCCGAGCCGTTGGAGGTCGTCGTGTCCTTCCTGTCGCCTATCACGCCTACCTCGACTCTGCGGCAGTCACTGCCGGCCGCATATGTGTCCATACACGTCAAGGGCAGTTTCAACATCAGTCTCTATATTGACCTGAACGGGCTATGGGTCAGTGGGGACAGGGGAAGCAACATCGAGTGGGAGCTTGTGCAGAACAACATCGACGAGAAGAACGCGCTGAAGACGTGGAAAATCAAGAAGCAGAATGAGCAGTTGTTCACAGAGTTTCAGGATCGTGCAGAATGGGGCCAGCTGCACTTCTCAGCGTCATCCGTAAGCGTCTGATTTCGGGGGTGATGGATATACCAGCTAATACTCGAGCAGGACGTTCGCCATGAGTCGGGCACCTCCGCCATGCTACGCCAGCGCTTCTCCAACACCGGCACTCTCCAAGATTCCGTAGACTCCTCGTTCCGGGGCATAATGGAGGAAGAGCCCGTCTTTGCCTTCTCCAAATCCTTTGTGCTCAAGGCAAACGCGTCCTCCGCCGCTTCAAAGTCTGATAGCGTTCTTTTCACCATTGCACACGTCCAAGACCCGGTGACACAGTTCGCCTCCGCTCGCGGGCTGACCTTCATGCGGCCTCTTTGGAAGTCTTGGTTTCACACTGACGCCGCTCTGCTGACCTATCACTATCTCGACTTCGCCAACGCCCGGCACCTCGCTCAGAATTATTCTAACCAGCTCGCCGTTGACGCCTACCGTTCCGGCTCCTCGAGCTACGTCGATATCGTCGCGCTATCCGCACGACAAGTCATGGGCGCAACCAGCTTCTCCGGAACACCTGATGAGCCCTTAATCTTCCTCAAGGAGATATCCTCGAACGGAAACTGCCAGACCGTCGACGTTATCTTTCCCGCCTTCCCGTTCTTCTTGTACACACAGCCGCGGTGGCTGGCATACCTGCTGGAACCGCTCTTGGAGCACCAGCTCAGCGGTCAATACCCGAACAAGTACTCCATGCACGACGTCGGGACGCACTTCCCTAACCTTACGGGCCATGCGGATGGACGCGATGAATACATGCCTGTTGAAGAGTGTGGGGACATGCTCATCATGGGTCTTGCGTTGGTCAACTCTCTTCTATATGGCTCAGGTCAAGAGGCGCAGTCTATCTGGTCCGTGGAAGGCAGCAACATCTCCATCGAGGCCAGTGGAGCGGGGAGTGTGTTCCCGCTATCCTTAGAGCAAAGGCAGGGCATCGAAGGCCTGGACGATTCTTGGGGCGGCGGAGCCAAGGGCGAGAAGCAAGCCCAGATGTGGCTGGAGAAGAGCTACCGGCTCTGGAAGCAGTGGACGGGCTACCTCGTTGAGTTTAGTCTGGAGCCGCATAACCAGCTCTCGACGGACGACTTTGCGGGTTGGCTGGCTCTGCAGACGAATTTGGCGCTGAAAGGGATTGTTGGGATCAAGGCGATGAGTGAGTTGGCGGAGATATTGGAGAATGAGGCGGATGCGAAGTTCTATCGGGTAAGCCGCGATACTCGACCTCTGGATCCATGTACCCTGTTTTGGTTCCATCTCTAACACTAGTCCTGGGTAGAACGTCTCAGATACATACGTCAAGAAATGGGAAGAGTTCGGCATCTCTCGCGATGGCTCGCATGCCAAACTCGCCTACGACTGGTACGGCAGCTGGACGACACTGTACTCCCTCTACGCCGACGCGGTCCTCTGCTTCCATCCTACGATCACCGGGAACGCCTCGTTAACATCCTTTCAACTGACCCCAGAAGAAAGCGCCGAAGGCACCGAACTCCGCCGCAGCAACCGCTACGGGGGTCAAGAGCCCCTCAAACCCCCCAAATCGCCCAACGGCAAGCCCAGAAAGCGGCAACCCACCGACTTCATCCCCCACCGCATCTACAGCATGCAGTCGACCTGGTACGGCGCGGTGCTACAAAAATACGGCCTCCCCCTCGACAGCCGGCACCTGTACGCGAAATCCGACTGGGAGTTCGAGGCGGCTGCCGTGGCGGACAAGGCGGTGCGGTCCGAGATTTTGGATAGGGTGGCGAAGTGGCTGAATGAGACGAAGACGGACAGGCCGTTTACTGATTTGTATAATACCGAGGGGGATGGTGGGTTTCCAGGGCCGGACTTTTTCGCGCGGCCGGTTGTGGGGGGGCATTTTGCGTTTTTGACGCTGGAGAGGGCGTGTGGGTGATGGGAGTGGTGGGAGTGGTGGGAGTGGTGGGAGTGGTGGGAAATGTTAGATTGGAACCCGATTGGATGCACACGGAGGGTCTTCCTCGCTCGTTCAGAGCAACCCATTCGCCAGTCTTTGCTTTGGTTAGTTATTCCACACAACAGCTGCCACACAACAAATTTATGGATAGTTAGACGAACGTGCTCCCAGAGAGCAGATAGTTCGTAGCCGTAACACCCATTGCAATGCTCCAAAGGCGAAGCTATCTGGTTATGGTGATGTTTCCCCAGGTAGGGCTGAGGGAACGGGATCTCCCGCTCGCCGATCAGAGCGTGGAGGCTTTGCGTGGAGACGGAGATCGGTGGAGACGGAGACGGGGACGGAGATTGGCGACATTAGCGACATTAGCGACATTAGCGACAGTCTTGGCATGGCGGGGGGGGTTTCGTGGTATTTGTGGTTTCGTGGTTTCGAGATTCCGTAAGCGGCCCCGGACTAGTCGCCGTGAGCGCCTGGGCAGGCCCCACTCAGAAGACAGACAGACTTCCTGCGTATCTCCCCCAATTCCGTGCATGTCGCACGCCGACACATCAGCTACTCTAGGCCTGCTAGGCAGATCAAAGGGGGTCCCTCCACCTTTAGCTACTACATCTGCCCGTGTCGAATCCACCTCTCAGTCTTCCCTCCCATCGCGGGCCCGCGCACTTCGACTGATTTGCAAAGATCCCCCGGATTCCGAAAGCCAGCCAACATGGACCAATCACCGCTAGACGTGCTCGATGACGCATCGCAGAGCGCAAGAATGGAGCTGTCGGCATCGCAGGACGCTGAGGCTCCCGATACGCCGGCGCAAACGTCGCCAGGAGCAGAGCGTGGCGGCGAGCAAGCTTCGAGGCCTGCACTGCCGATGCAGAAACGCCGGCGAGTCACAAGAGCTTGCGATGAGTGTCGCAGGAAGAAGATCAAATGCGACGGCAAGCAGCCGTGTACGCATTGCACCGTTTACAGCTACGGTAGGCAGTTGAGAGCACGTCTTGAAGCAGAGAAGAACTCTACTAACGCCTAAACTGCGCCAGACTGTACTTTCGATCAGCCCTCAAACCGTAGGCGCAATGCCACCCCGCAATACGTCGAAGCGTTGGAGAATCGGTGCCGCCGATATGAAGCCCTACTCAGGGCCATACTGCCGAATGTCGATCTAAACGATCCCCGTATCGAGCCCGCGCTGCGACAAGGCTTGATGGCCCAGATGCAGCCTGCGTCCGCGGACGCCAGTCATAACAACCGGGCCGCCCGGCCTGAGCAGGAACAGCCCTTGAATGATGCAGATGGAGCCACAGACGCTCATTTGGAGTCCATGGTAAGGGCTACAGGCCAATTAGATCTGGACGAACAGGGCAACTGGGACTATCATGGCCACTCTTCTGGACTTAGCTTTATGCGCCGGCTGCGGGATCAATTCGGAGACATTATGGGAGCGGTCGGAAGGTCAACGCCGTTTCTCAAGTCGCGGCCAATGTCGCAAGTGTTCGATACACCGCACTCAAATATTGGATCACCGAGCGATTCCCACAACAACTCTTTAGTGGGACTGGACCTGCCACCTAAAAGCGTAGCCCTTGAGCTTGCCGACAACGCTATCAACGATGCCACCATCCTTCTTAGGTTTGTACACTGGCCTACCTTCGTAAAGAAAGTGGACAGGATGTATGATATAGCGCCAGAAGACTACGGAACCGAAGAAAACAGCTTCCTTCCTCTTTTGTACACGGCATTGGCTGTGGGTTCTCTTTTTTCAAAGGGTCATGCGGAGCTAGATACTCCTGGATACGGAGCTGCAATAGATGAAGGGTAAGTCGAGAGCCAAAGGCAGTATCGATTGACTTCTTGCTAACTAAAACAGCTTCAAATACTTCAAGGCTGCGCGCAAAGTTATGGATATCGCAGACTGCAGAGACCTCGATTCTTTGCAAGCGATCGCATTTATGATTATTTTCCTTCAATGCTCTGCGAAACTATCAACATGCTACTCGTATATCGGTGTCGCGTTACGATCCGCTTTACGTATGGGCATGCACAGATCATTCGCCGACGGTTTCAGTCCAATTGAGGCGGAGACACGCAAGAGGTTGTTTTGGGTCTTGCGAAAGATGGACATTTTCGTCGGCGCATTGCTCGGTCTGCCACACGCCGTAAGTGATGACGAGATCGACCAGGACTATCCCAGCGAGGTGAACGATGAGAACATTACCGAAAAGGAGATCATACCCATGGCGCAGGGTACGATCACTGTTCAAGCTGCTTCAAATGCCCACACAGATCTCCTCAAGATTTTGTCCAAGATAGTGCGCTATATCTATCCGATTAAGGGAAGTCCGGCCAGTCAAGGTCGGTACAGCGTCAGCTACGCTAAGATTCGCGAGATTGAGATGGAATTGAACGTGTGGATAGAGGGGCTACCTATGGGGGTGAAGCCTGGTGGAGAAGCACCGCCTGTGATTGTGCGGTAAGTTTGAGAACCTAAGGCGTTCAGCGCTCAACTACTGACTGGATAATAGAGTACAGCAGATGCTACGCATGGCTTACGCGCATGCACAGATGATGCTCTACCGCCCATTTGTGCACTACGTGTCTAACTGCAAGTCCCAGGAAATCGACAAGCGCTCCTACGCATGTGCATCCGCCTGTGTCAGCGTCTCGAGAAATATCGTCCACATTTGTGTGGAGATGAAGAAGCGGAACCTTTTGATAGGCGGCTACTGGTTTTCGATGTATACGACCTTCTTCGCCATATTGACTCTCATCTTTTTCGCACTGGAGAATCCTGAAAACGCCGCCACTCAGGATGTGCTTCGCGATGCCATTGAGGGAAAGGAGTGCTTGGCTCAGCTTGCCAAACGTAGCATGGCGGCAGATAGGTGCACGGCAACTTTGTCGGTAAGTCAGGTTTCACCCGTTGTCACTATGAGCTTACTAAGTGCTATAGCCACTCTTCGATCAAATATCAGAACAGATAAAGCGCAGTCGCGATGTGGTTGCGGCCAACAGAAAGCGTCGCCAGGCTCCATCGCCAAACCAGTACGCCATGGATAACGCACCAGTCAAGTCTATGCCGGAAGCCGACTTGCCGCAGTACTCACTGAAGAGAGCAAACACAGTCCCTGAGGTTCTCAGTAACAGTGATCACCAAGGAAGCGCCGTCGCCTATCCAGCACCTATCCCACAACGAAATCTGAGCGTCCAGTCGACCTACTCAGGGGCTCCGAACCCCGAGTTCATGGACGCTTCGAGTCTGCCACCCTCCTTAACTAGCGTATCGACTTCCATGCCGACGATGAATTTCGCCGCACCACAACCACACTTCTCACCCCTCACCCAAACGACCGACTTCAGCACCAACAGCGGCAGCTTCTACCCTCCCATCCCCGACCTCTCCGCCATGATGTTCCCCTCCGCCGACCCCTTCGCCTACCCGAACCCCCCAATGATGACCTTCGAAAACAGCACCTTCAGCAACCTCAACATGGATTTCAACGGCGCCTCCGGGCCCCCCGGCGGTGGCGGTCTACCACAATCATCCACCCTCCCCGACCCGCTCTACACCTTCCCACCAACCTCGCATCCCGGCGGCAACAGCAACCGCAACAGCGGCCTCTTCATGCAGAATCCCGATTCCGCCCTCCCGTCCGGCCTGCCCTCCGGCTCTGGCGGCCTCGGAACCCCGGATCCAGACGGCAGTGGCGAACTAGATGTCCAGCTGTTTGGGCCGATGCCGATGTATATGATGCAGGGCGGGCAGCAGGAGCAGCAGCTGGAGCCCCAGGGCAATGGCAACGCCTTCCAGCCGCAGCGGCAGGCGCAAAGCGGAGGGCCTTGGGGGGTGCAGCAGGGCGGCGTTGGAGCTGGGGCGGAGGGCGTGAATCTAAATCAGCTGTTTGTGGGGCAGGAGTGGGCGGGTGTGTTTGGGGCGCCGGCGGGGTACGGGCCGGTGGGGAAATGGGAGAATGAGGGGAGGTTCAGGTAGGGCTTGCATATCGCGGGATAACGGGATACAGGAAACCGTCATAGCATAGGCATTTCTGGTAGAGTCGCTTTGAGGCGCTGTTGGGCTACGCGGGGCATCTTGGATGAGCTATGTACTCGGGTCGGCGCACACGATACCCATCACTGGTCTGGCGTTTTGAGATCATACTTGGTTCATGATGGTACGGGTGATAGCAAAAGGGTCACCAGCATTTTCGCATTTGCAAACTTGTTTTTGTATTGTAGATGCTTGTGTAAACTGAACTGCCATACACCACCACGTATTGTAACAACTGTAGAAACGCTAGGAGAGCCTCCAGTTCATCTCACAATGACTACCAAAAAAATGAAGCTCCTTTCCATGGATGTTTCTTCACGAAGGCCACCCGGGTCTTTCTCCGCCTACACTGCCTATCATGAATCCAATCTCCGCCAAGCCGTTCAATGCTCGCTACTGTGCGAAGATTTTTCTTGCAGAATTCAACTTCGAGGCCCCTTGTGCGCCATGCCTGACAATCTGTCGCTCTCATTGGTAGTCGCATCGAAGGGCTCCCGAGAAGATCCTAGGGGTTCCGCTAGGATAGGTGTACGTGGGCAGCACGTAGTAGACAGCCAGCCCGCTGTAGACTCCGACTAAGGAGTGACATAGCAAGCTTTACATCTAGCGTTACCATGGCACATAAGACAGTCTCAACGGGGGGTGCGCCCCAAACCCAAGCGGTTTTGGCGCTGTGGTATTTGTTGAGGAGTCTAGGCGCGGGGGCCTCCAGATTGACGGCTGATGCATCCAAAATGAATTGAGGACGTCGGTTTTAGTGCAATACAGAGCTTAGAGACAAGTCGCGAGGAGGAGAACGAACACGACAATGGGAACAAGCATTTTCCAGTCACATCCCAGGAAGCAATGCCTCGATCATATCAACACCCACGGACCAAACTGCGTGTTGCCTGAGGAGAAAGCCGTAAACTCTGAAGACACATATTGTAAAAGTGCTCTGATCTATCACCGGGAGAAGATCAAGATTAATGCAAACCTAATGTATAGTAATTCTTACGTCAGGGTATTCAACAGACGACCTTGGCGGCCAGACAGGTTCAGTTGACTTGACGTGATTGTCCAAGACAGCTCCAGTACTCTGCAGGCTTAGCGCTTGCGGGTGATTACATTTGGTGGTTCTGTGTGCTCGTGAACCATCCATGAGTTATCTGAAGCCATCGCGGATAGACGCCAGCGAAAGGATGATTCTGTTTTTCTCCCAAGGTATCTATCGGATTAACGGCAACATTCGCGCCTGCTCGGGAAAACGACCGAAGAGCTTCAGGAGCCAGAACACACCCTCACCACCACCAGTACCTTACTCTTTCTTAGGCGGCCTGATGGCCCTCGGCCCCTCAACCCAGTCGAAGGTACCGCCGAGCTTTGTCATCCCAACATCGCCTGGACCCTCGGCCTGTCTGGGAGTAGAGCCATCGAACAGCGTACCACTGAGGAAGGTGTGCGGAAACCCGTGGTCAAACTCGTAAGCAGCCTCAACCTCCCTGATCTCGTCCTCGGTTAAGGAGACGGCCAAGCCAGCAATGCTGCCCTTTAGATGATCCACCTTTCTCTGCCCAACAATCGGGAAGACATACGGCGTCTTCTGCATGCAATACGCGAGCGCTAGGTTTAGAAGGTTGACGCCCTTGGCGCTGGCAATCTTCTCCAACACCTTGGACACCTTCTTGTCGCGCTCCGACAGCGGGATGAATTTGCGTCCCGGGTTGTTCTTCTCTCGCTCCTTGAAGCCCTCCTCGGTCTGGAAGCGGCCCTGGTTGAGCACGCCATAGGGACACAGGCCCATGCCCTCGTCGCGGGTCATGGGGATGATGTCGCGCTCAAAGTCCCGCATCGCTGCGTTCCACATGCCTTGATACACGACGAATTGGCGCAGTCCATGGCAGCGCGCGTACTCGTTGGCCTTGGAGACGACCCAGGCGGGTGTATCGGAGATGCCGAGGTACAGCACCTTGCCGGAGACGACGAAGTCGTTGAGGCTATGCATCAGCTCGGGGATGGTAGTGGTAAAGTCCCACCAGTGGACGTAGAACAGGTCGATGTAGCTAGTCTGCAGCTTCTTAAGCGACGCCTCGAGCGACAGCTTCATGCTCTTGGATCCGTTACCGGTGTAGTTGGACTGGATCTGGTCCTTATGGGCGCCCATGTAGCCGGTCGAGTACTTGGTCGCCAGGACGATCTGGTCGCGGTTCTTGCGGCTGGCCATCCACTCGCCTACCCACATCTCCGACTCGCCGTCCTGGTAGGCGTTAGCGGTATCGACAAAGTTCCCGCCCTCGCTGTAGAAGTGGTCGAGGATCGCGAAAGCGTCCTCTTTGCTGCATTCACCGTAGCGGTCCTGGTGCGACTCGCCGAAGGTCATAGCGCCGAGGCATAGCGGCGAGACACGAATTGAAGCCGTGGGCGCCAGCTGGCGGTGACGAGCGAGCAGGGAATTGGGGTTCGGAGCCATCTTGATCGGAGGTGAGTGAATGGATGATGAAGAACCGAGGGCAGTCTGGGAAACAAGCTGCTGATGCGACAGTGAGTACGTTCCGGAATAGGAGCACAAGAGAAGACGAAGGACGGGAAAGATGGAAGTTAGATGTCCTGCGTAGCTGAGATGGGAAGCATGATAATGCTGTCCGCTGAGCTTTGCATTGAGTGCACCACTGCTAAGCCTAACCGCGGGGCGGAACAAAGCGTGGACCCCGCAGACTAAATGCAAGGAAAACAGCTGAAGTTGAGGCGAGAGTGGCGCTCTACCCACCGCCGCTTTCGCAGTTCGGGATGGGTTACAAGGGGGTTGCATGAGCGGGCTACTTGTAGACGACCCCCCTACTTGTTGCATCAGGCTGAGAGCTAGTACAGCTGGCGACATTGGAGACTGACAGGTGGGTGACTACTAGCGAGCACCTACTACTATGTGTTTTTCATTCTTGTACCCTTCTCTTTTCGCGAGGTGACGCTAGTAGCACCAGAGGAGTGTGAGGTTTGAGTGCGGAGTGTTCATTAACCTTATTACTCAAGAACAATGCTCACCCTCGCTCAACCCTGCAGATGCTCACACAATTGTACTAACCTATATCACCTACGTCCTCACCCGAAACTCGCCCACTCTCACCCCAGGGCCTATCATAGCTGCAAAGACTATCTATTAGAATAACAGAGCCGAGACCAGCTTCCAGAGTAGAGAGTCTGTGCTGACCCTCTCAGGCGTCCGGCTTGACATAGCCAGTTCACCGGCTGTCATAAGAAGAGTAAACACATTGTTATTACGCTATCGAAGGGGTATAAGCTTTCGTAGCAAGAAAAATGCTAAAAAGAATGTGAGAAATCCAAACTTGCAATAGGCCCTCACTGCATCGGGCTCCGCGCTCAACACGTTGGACACGATGATCAAGGAACTCGATGTACCTGCCCTACGTTGTAGGAGCCCCTCCACCATGCGCTTACACGTCCTTAACGCTTAACCTCAACCTCCTGGCTGCGCCTAAGCCTAGTCTCCTCGTCGAGCCTGTCATGGCGACGGTCGCGGACTTCGTGGAAGGCAGCTGTGATGGCGTGGAGGATTCTGCGCGGCGCCGACTACGTCAGCAAGCTGGAAATACGGCGCCACATCGTTCATACCGCGCGCGCAAGGACCCGTCACTTACGTGCTAATAATGGCCAAAACGAAGGTGCCCCACGGCAGGTTACAGCTCTTGTCCCTCGTGTTCGCTACCTCGCCCGTCACGATGTTCTCATCCCTGACATTCCGATCCTCATAGCAGTGTCTCGGCCCCGCTGGTCCGCCCTCCGGCCTCGTAAGTATCGCAACCGCAATAAATGCCCCCACGAACGCGACATCCAGCGCGACGAACAGCCATCTCAGCGTCTTGCTCCCTCCGCCCTTCTTAAGCAGGCTCATAAGCATCGCAATAAGCGTGTACAGCACCGCAGCAGCCAGAATACCCTCGATCGCGCCATAGGAGCCCGAGATGCCGCGCGCGGTCTTGATGCTGTTGACGAGGCGGTAGACTTTGTAGACGCGGCTGGAGAAGATGCCGAGGGAGATGGTGGAGGAGAGGAACTGGAGGATGCGGGTTAGGCGGAGGAGCATGCGGTAGAGGGCCGTGTGCTTGAGGGAGTCGGGGACGAAGCGCGTCAGGAGGCCGGTGTCCCGCTCCGTGGTGGTGCGGGAGGCGGTGCTGTGAGTGTTGCGGCGGGCCATGGTGGAGGAGGAGTTGGTGATGCAATTCAGGCACCTTTGAGGTGGGGGAGAAGTAAGACGCGTAGGGCGTGGAATGAGACGTGGAGCTAGATAAGCAGGTAATGGATAACAACAATTCTGAGGATGATTATGAGAAGTGGACGGCAATATGTAGCTTCACGGATAGCAGTGGAGAACCTTGGAACTGAACAGAAGCCCAACACGGACATATTGGGCAGAGTGAAATCAAGAATCAGTCAAGCGCACAACGCTCGTCACCGTGACAGGCTGTCCTGTGGCACAACAGAATGAGAACGCCATCTTCGCAAGCAAGAATACCATCTTCGGGAGTAACCTGGAAGCATGCGCGTTTCAGAAATCAAGGCAGTAAGACTGAAATTGGCTCGACTAAGAAGCGATGTGCAGCGTGGTGATCGTCAATGCAGCGCGCGGGACGTTCTGCCGGCACGAATGGCTCCGGGTGGCTTGCGGCTGAGTCGCAGCAGCGGCAAGTGGCGCATCGCCCTGCAGGTTTTGCGGGTTTTGCGCTGGTCATGAAATTAACCCTGCTACTCGTACGAGTGTCCAGCTTGGCGTCGGTCATCACGATGCGCACATCTAGATGCTTGTGTTGAGCGGTGTTGAGCGGTGGAGGCGATAGACTAAGTTAACCGGGGTACATTAGACTCTATATAGATGACCAGATCGCTATCTCCTTTGTTGCAGGCTTTTGCGGCGTCGAGTACGGAATCGAGGAGGCCGTTTGCCCCTTTGAAATCTCCCCGCTTCATCGCAAGCTCCGCGAGGTTGTTGTAGGCTTGAATGATGCTATGATGCGCGTTGCCGAAGGTTTTGCGGTATCCGGCAAGCACTCTTTGATACATGTCGGTGGCCTTGTCGAACAGTAGCTGTGCCGTGAAGACGTTCTCCAAGTTATTGACCGTATTCAGGGTCCTGAAGTGGTCGCGGCCCAGAGTGAGTTCTTTTGCGGCCAGCACAAGTCCAAGAACGTGCTCAGCTTCACGTGTTTTCGACATATCAATGCACAGCGCTCCGAGATTGTTCATCGTACGCAACACAGTCGAGGCATCATTGTTTTGAAATCGAACAGATTCGAGGAACAATTCTTCTGCCGCAGTGTGTAGATCGTGACGGCCGTAGAAAGTGGCGAAGGTCGTTGTGTGGCCTTCTAGGATTCCGCTGTACGCGACCTTATCTTCTGTCGTTTGAAGGGATGTCCGACTGTTCTCCATGCAGCAATCGATGTTGCTGAGTAGGTCTCGTCTAGTGTGGAGCGGGAGACCGTCGGACTCTTTGGTCTGAACCAACACCACCGTCATTAAGATCGCTTCATGTTTCAGCCGTTTTTGTGTCCTCAGGCCACATCGTAATTGAAGCCACTCCTGCGGCTCGTTAGCAAGGTTTCATAAACCGAAGCATAGATAGCGGCCACCTTGACGAGTGGATGAAGCGAAAACCCGACCTCTTGACCAGTGAATGATATGCCCTGGATCAGCGATAAATTGGCCAGCGCTGCAATGGTGTCTTGGAACTGAAATGAATGCCGCCGCCTATCAAGGAAGAACTGCTCCGCCCATGCAATACCGTCACCTCCGACAATACTCCGCTCGACGAAGTTACGGAAGACTATCTCGCTGTTATAAGTGCGGTTGAGAAACGCTGAAAGGATAAGGAAGGCGCGTGTTGCACCCGGATCCGGACCAGATATCTGATCGAAGGACAAACCCCAAGTCGTAAGAACCGACAAGTGCTCTCCGCGGAGGCTATTATCGTCATCAGACCGTTTCCGATACTCCCATGAGGTTGTCGGGGCTGATGCCAAGATGAGTCTCTTCCGCGACTTCAGTTGCTGTAGGAAGGTTTTTAGAGACAGTTGACGAATGGTGATATAGGCTGCTGCCTGATCAATAGCGAGCAGAAGATAGCCAAGCTTGTTCACAATCACTTTCCCCCACTTCGGTTGGCGAGCAAACCGATCAGGGTCGCCAGATGTTGCTCCGGAGCGTGAAATGAGCAGCTCCAAGCCTTCAGCTTCTGTAGGTCCGCTTACTTTGATGTGAGCTCCAAGTCCTCCACACTCTAGCTGCCTGCTAGTCACTAGAATCGTGTTTGGCGGATCGCCTGCGGCGGTAGGGAAGTACTCGGCAATATTTGTGAACGCACATGGCGTATCGTAGTTGTCGAACACTAACAGCCATCTGCCTGTCCAGGTCCGTATGGTGTCCTTCACGTATGTGACTTCCGCGGAGGAATCTGAGAGGGTGCTGCAGCCGCCATTGCTGCTCAAAAGATCGGCCATGCGCTCGAAGTCACAGATCGTTGACGACTCGGACGATGCGTTAACCCAGAAGATACCGCGGTATTCCAAGCCACTTCGTCGGCAGAATTCCAAGGAAATCTGCGTTTGCCTTGACCACCGATCCCAGTCAGAACCGCTATAGCCGGATTTCGCTTTGAATTCAAGACGGCTCAGCAATATCGGTCAGACACTGTTGGCGACCGACAAAAGTAAACACGCGGATGCTAGGCACCGCGAAGTAACCTCCTAGCTCTTCGGGTTGAGCTGATCGTTTATGATTTGCCTGGAAGCTCCTCGAAGAGATCTGCAGGGTTATTGTTGACTTGTAGTTGTTCAGAATCCCACGAATCTCTTAGAGTTTGGTATCTTTCCAAGACTGCCGAGGCCACAGAGGAGTTTCTTAAAGGCGGATGAGTTCGAAGGTGGAGTCAGTGAGTCGATTGATCTGTCTAATCGATCGAGCTGTCGACAACATCCTTCCAGTACGCGGACAAGCGCTTGCTCTGTCGCAGTGTCAAGGCCTTCGATACATCGAGGTGAACCAAGAGCCTCGACATCCTTGGATAACAGTGGCAGCTGATTTGCGATATCCTGCAATGCAATATTTCGGCGATATTCCCGCACACGGCTGACGACCGTGGCACAGCCTTCAATGAGCTGGACAACGGAAGCGCCGACGGTAAGGACGGCAACGAACCCAGCACCTAACATGATGCGACTTTGTGGGCTGCGACTGTTACAGGTGATGAGCTGATTGCAACTGTCTGTCAGCAATTCTTGCAAGGAAACGGAGAGGTTGAAATAGGATCTTAGATTTCAACCTGCACCCGGCATGTGACGCGCTTACATTTCGCCACATCTGCTCCGCCTCGTCCGTATTCACCTGCATTCACGCATGTTCGGCTGGGACTATACCTTTTGCTGGGTTGGTACACATGGTGAGTTGGCGAATTACGCGTTCGTGATAGAACACTTACTGCCGTATGCTTTTGAATACTTTTACGTGTTCCTCTTTGGCAGACGCTGGCGAGGAAGACGTATCAATCTCTTCTTTTTATTTTTCAACGTTTTCATTGTTCTAGGCCCTGCAAAAAGTTAAGATGAAATTACAACGATCTGTAACAATCCGTGAAGCTGAGAGGAGGAGGCTGCTTCCAGAGCGCCATTAAGGGTACCTATCCAGTCTCTACCAATGCGCCGTTACGTGACTCTCAGAACGCCATCGGGTATATATGCTACGCAGCAAGCGCTGTTCAAGAAAGAAAAGAAGATTTGACCAGACTTGGAACCGGGGAATTTCTTGGACCAACGCCACTACGACGCCTCAGTAGATCTATCTTTCGCATCGTGTCGGTGAAGTAGACTATTGATCTTAGGCGCTTTCCAATCCGCAAACGACCGTCCGGGCTGCTTGTCCTTCTCCCTAACCGTCATCTTCCTCTTCGAGCGGCCAGAGACGTAGACAGTTTGAGAACCGGAGCTCGAAGCCGTGGAAGGTCGCAAAGCCGGTGCCGAGGCCTTTGTGCGTAGTTTGGGCTTCTTGCCCACATGCTCGTCGTCGGATATCTCGGTGTTGAAACTCCTCACTGACATACCGGACTGGTCGGATAGTGTCACCTGGTCAGGCGCGATCAGTGTAGAGCCGGAATAGGTAGATGGATAGCGAAGCGCATCCAGGGGGTGATAGGGCGCCGAGGCGGTAGTGAGGACATCGAGAGGTGATGCAAGCCTGTCGATGTCGCAGTGAGCGCCTGTGTACGAGGGCGGAGGGTCCAAGTAACCGTACGTCATCTTCGTGTCCATGCCGTTGGAGAAGCCCCGTATCTTTCCATCTAGCTCTTCGTCGTGCGCCCAGCAGGATTCGTCGGATCCGAAGAGCTTCGGTAATTGCCTGATTTCTTCCCACGTCAGGTCCACATTCTGCAAAGCGATGTACAAAACGTCGCCGGCCAGCTTATCGTGTGCAACACAGTGGTGATCGAGAAAAGAATGATTCCATAGGTCGGCCGAGCAGTATTCAGCTGCCAGCTGGTTCAGTTCCATGCGGCCAAAATGCTGAGGTTCGGTTGATCGGTGTCCGGCCAACGGAACCCACGAGCGACCGTGAAGAACAGAACAGTAAGCAATCTCTACGGCTCGAACGAATGACTCGCATTCGCGGTCAGAGAATTTTAGGTCTTGCTGAAAATTACGCGATTGGCAGCGTTTGTTGGCGACGCTGTCGTAGTCAAAAGCAAATCGCTGCATTTTGTGTGGGACCAATATAATACGGAGGCTCCACGAGAAAGAATACATCTGCTTTTCCAAGCGGACGGGCTGCTCGTCGATCGTCTGCGCAATCGTGAGTTCCTGTACGGGTGTGATTGAGGCCGACTGGAACCTTCGGCTACGTTCGAACTCGTCGAACTTGCTTTCGAGTTGTATCTGGGACTCATCAATGGCTACCACTCGCTTCTCGAGATTACCCAGCGCGTGTAGCCTATCAACGACAGCCTCGACTTTGTCATCGAGTAAGAGCTTCATTTTCCGCATGTTCTCGTACACGCCAACCTCACTTTGCTTCAAGAGAAGCAAATCTTGATCCCTCTGGCGACGCATGCTGTCTAGCTCTTGCTCCAGGTTCTCCAGCTTCCTAAGCACGGCGAGATGCTCCTCCACAGATACCGCCGCTGGGGGTTCTGCATGGTGATGCCAGGCTTGGTGGCCGCATCCGCACCTTGTGCCTGGGACATCCTTGTTCAGCCAGAAGCTGTTGCAATCGCAACGTTGCCGTGTCTCCCCATGAAGAAAGCCGCATTCTCCACGAGGCAACTTTTGGTCCGAATGCGGAGGCTGAGGTCTTTGGAGGTGCACCAATGGCTGGAGCGTATTATGGAACATTTAGAGGAGGATATGCCCCTGTTTCGTATAAAGAATGAATTGGTAGGTCGAATCGCCCATAAAATGGCGAGAGGGGAAGTGCAGGTGTTCGTCAACGCGTCAAGGTAGTGAGCGGGCGAGAGGCGGGCGAAGGCCGAATGTCTAGATGGCATCAATCAGTACGAGAATCACGTACACGACAAAGGCTCAAAGTCCGCGGCGTAGCTACCCGTTGGAAGAGTAGGAGACGCACCTGTCAGCTCATGACCAGCTATATGGGAGCACGTCCACGAGCCATTTTCTTCAGCAGTGGTTCTCCACCAGCACAAAGGAAAAGAGTGCTCCTTTCATGAACAGGAAACGGTGTCGGAACGGTGGTGGAGAAGGTGCTGAAGGCGCAGGAACTGATTACCTCTACGGCCATGCCGCCATCCCGCGCAGCCAAGGCTAGCTCCCGCGCACGCATGGGGGCCAGCGGACAAGCCTGACAAGCCTGACAAGCTTTCCGGCCTTGCTGTTCTCGCAATGGTGTGCACCATGCACGGAGTAGCATCCTTGAATGGCTGGCTGTCGCCCTCTGACAGGGCTGGGGGCACGAATGTGGAAGCAGATAAGAAGGGGGAGGCACCGACGTCGGTCTCGTTCCAGACTGCGCCAGGAGCGTAAGAAGCTCCGCTGTCGGCGCTACCTAAGGGTGTCCATCACTCTCCCGGCCATCCCACGCGCCTTGTTCTAACTATCAAAAGCAAGTGCGCCTTTGCGACTCTTGTCAGTCCCTGGAGGCAGCGGTAAGAGCTGCCGACGTGTACGAGTAGCCAGCATCCGGCGTCTGGCATCTGGCATCTGGCATCTGGCACAGCGAGATGCTATCATTGAGCTGAGAGCGCAGCGATCCCCCCACCACAGCTGGCGCGTCTTATCTCTTCAGCCCTGCGCGCCCGAACGTCGGCCCGAACGTCCGCCCTCGTCGCCGTTTTGAGCATTCTCAGGCCCCCACGAGGAGTCAGGCGTGTCAGGCGTGTCAGGATGCTCCCGGCGCCGTCGCCCTGCAGATCGGTCAATTGACAGCAACAAAATCCCCGCTGGGGCTGATTGGACGGCTGCTGCAACGGCTCATGACTCGCATCACTGGCTCCGATCAGTCATCCATCTGCATCTGCTGTGACGTCGGCCGGGTTGGAGCAGATGGTGAACTGCCTGGAGGCTGCTTTCGTGTCGTGGTGAACTGCACGCATGGCATCCTGCATGTTTGCACCAGCTCTCAACGAAGCTGAACTGGCCGGTTAGATGCGGCGCCCTTCCGGATCGTTGCGTGGGGCTTTTGAAGCAAACGCTTGGCCGCGGCTCCATATCCCACGCAGATCCCACTCGGGTCCACCAGCTGAGGAGCTGAGCGCCGCCGGCGCACCTGACTCGGACTGAGTCCCGTGCTGGACGGGCTTCGTGCAGAACGAACACACGATGCTGATGGGCGCCGTGTTGACAAGCTGGAAGACGAACCTCTCTCGCGCAGATCTCTGAGCTGACCTCAACGGATATCTTCTTGTGTTCTTTTACTGCTGGTTGTCTGCCATGTAGCAAAAACCGAGGACGAACCCTCAGCAAGTCTTATCTTGCTCGAGAATGACTACTCTGCTTGCTTACTTCATGAACAACAGCGATTGGCACAGTGAAACTGAATCGCAAGGAACGATCTCGTCTGCGAGTCATCCTCATCGTCGAAGACCGAAAATTGTGTTGTAATGGCGAGGAAAAGGCAGGCTGAACTCTACCCAGGAGCAATGTCTTGGCATCAAAATCCTTATCGATAGTCATATCCGGATCTTTGACCAGCAATCTATGGAGAGCAATCGTTCCTGTCGCATGTCCACAAATCATAGGCCCGTTGTACTCCTAAGGTGCTACCATCTCTCCAGTGTTTGAGCAACCTCAACATCCCGTCCACACCCAAATGGCCACCTCCATGCCAGCCGAACACCTGGCACCCAGCGAACTAGGCACAAAAGAATAGTTCGTAACTCTCCCCATCCCTCCTCCGTACCTCCCACTCACCTTCCCCACCAGCTGGGACAGAACCTACGCCCTCGAACTCACAAACCACGCCACCAATCCCTCCGACGAAGGCACCATCTGGTTCTCCGACGCCGACGCCGAGGACAAGGTCCTCTCCTATCTCGAGCGCCTTGACGATCAAGGCATCTTAGACAAGCGAGAGACGAGTTTTCTGGACTTAGGGACTGGGAACGGACATATGCTGTTTGCGCTGAGGGATGCAGGGTGGGAGGGACCCATGGTGGGGTTGGATTATAGTGGTGCGAGTGTGAGACTGGCGAGACGGGTGCAGGAGGGGAGGGTGGGGCTGTTAGGGGGGGATGGAGAGGAGGAGTCTGGCGGGGGTGCTGTGCAATTTGAAGAATGGGACATATTGAACTCCGAAGCTGGAGAGTGGCTGGGAGATGGTTTCGACGTGGTTCTGGATAAGGGCACCTTCGACGCGATCAGCCTGAGCGGAGAGGTCGGTGCGGAGGGGAGGAGGATATGCGAGGGATATCGGGAGCGGGCTGAAAAGCTGGTGAAGAGGGGCGGAAGGCTGCTGGTTACGAGCTGTAACTGGACCGAGGCGGAGCTGAGATGGTGGTTTCATGTCAGCGGAGGGGGGCTGGTATTTGAGGATTCGATAAGATATCCCAGCTTCAGGTTTGGCGGGGTGGAGGGAACAAAGGTCGCGAGTGTCTGCTTTAGAAAAAGAGACGACGAACACGGTCCATGACACGATTGCGGTTCCGCTTTATGATGCCTGACGCCGCGATATACTCTCTTGTGTGATTGCTTGGTGAGTACTGACGCTGATCAGCTTCAATGCTTCCTCTTTAACTTAGCTGCCACGGTCCACTTCTTTCTCTCGGCCACGCCCTCGCCTTCCCTCTCAGTCATCCACTCCCTCCTCTCCCCATCCGCGTCCATTTCCCAAATCTCCTCGACCTCCAGTCCTTCCTGCCCAACAACCTCGAAGAACGGCGCCAACTTCGCCCGGCCGGTATGAAACCCGGCCATCACCAACACACGCGCGTCTTCAGCTGGAGACAGAAAGTGCAGCATCGACGTTGCGAGGTTGTGGTGCTCGTCGGGCATCCACAGACAATCTGCTGCTAGAATTCGGGTATAGCGGCCCGCGTTGGCGAGCGCGAACGGGGTGCTCAGGTCGCCCCACTCGTGGCCTTCAATATTAACGCGATAGCGGAGGTGCCCAGACACGTTTGTGGAGACGTTCTCTGCTAACGTAGCAAGGACTTCGGGGGCTGGGTAGTCTGATATAGTAACCTGATCGAACCGTTAGCAGAGAGAGAGAGAAAAGGGAAAGGGGGAATGATGCCAACCTCCTCAGCACCAGCCAAAACACTAACAATACCAGCGAGCCCTACGCCTAAGCCGCAGAATGCCCATCAGCCCCTATATCTTCCTCTCACACTGGTTTCTCCCTGCCTCTTCCACGAGAGCACTCACACACCTGCCCCAAGCTCCAACACCCGCTCGCTCTTGACGCCCCATCTCTCCTCCTCTTCCCTACTAATCCACCACCTCCTTCCCTCATCCCCCTCCCGCTTGTCCCCTTCCTCCATCCCGCTCCACTCCCTATCCCTCTCTCCCCCCGGCCTCACACCCCTTCCCCCAATAACCTCCCCCAAAAGCACGCCCGCATTCCACAAATAGTGCGCGAACCTCCTGCGCCCCTCCTCTTTCACCGGATCCGAGGTTCTAAACTCTAGCTCTCCATACACGGAATTATAGACAATCACGTTTTCCGGGTCGCCGTGCTGGTTGCGCACGTCGTCGGTGAAGATGGTGCCCAAGGCGGCGGAGAAGATCGTTTCAGGATCGAGGGGGGTGGCGGTGGTGGGATTCCGGGGCTGGAGGCGGAGGAGGGAGGGGAGCATTGGTTGTGTTTAGTTTGAGGATATATTGATGGTGGTATTCGTAGAGGGAGTGGGTTGGTGGCCGACTGAGGGCGGGGATCTGGGAGGCGCCTTTACGTGGCGGAGCTGAGTAGTTAGGGTAATGGGCGGGGAATCGATTTGGGAGGGCTGGGCGGTTGCGGAGTGAGGAGGGTTTGGATATGGGGTCCGCGTTGTGCTGATATTTGGTGAAGAACCAACAGGGTATAGCTCTACAATCAAGGCACGACATCAAGCTGATTGGGAGAACGTCTCACAGGTGCAAGCATATGGGTTGCCTATGCAATGAGAAAGTTGTTGCTAAAAGCGGACCATCCATCAGAACCAGATGCTGGATAAGACATACAGCGCCTAAGCTAGATGCTTGTACACAGCTCCGGATGCTCGCGAATGAAAGATGCAGAGGCCGTGAGAAGATGGAAACGCCTAGAAACGCCTTCGCTCTAAAGATGCACTGTAGTCGTGCGCAAATCGAGTAGGGTATCGACCACCTCTTCGAGCACCTCCCCCTCAGATGCCGCCTCACCACCTCCTCAGTCCTGCTTGAACACCAGCCTCACTGCTACACCGGCCCACTCTCCATGACCTCGCTTCCCTCCCCAAAGTCCTCATCATCCATCTCTTCCAAGCCCACTGCGCCCATCATCGCGGTGGCCTGTTGCTGCTGCTGCGCATGTGGCAGAGCCACTCCGCCATCCGGGAGCATCACCACATTTCCAGCCGATCCCTGTGCTGCAGCAGCTATATTCGGCCCCGTGTTCGGTCCACCATTCCAGGCCACCACTGGCCCAGCACCCGCGCCAAGATTCGGTCCAACATCAACAACCTGGACGTCATCGCCCTCCAACTCTGTCAGGTCCTCCCCATCATCCGCCGGCCCGCCCGCCTCGTCCCCGTCAATATCCCCGTCGTCGTACATAGTCCCGTCCGTCTCGTCAAACAGAGGCGGGATATGCGTGTCGGGCCCATTGAGGTAGTCCCGGAGACGATTGACGCCTGCGCCAGAGAAGACGCAGAAGACGTCGCGCTGGTGCTCGTTGAACTCCGAGGGTGCTTCGCGGCAGTGTATCAGGAGGTCTTCGCGGAGGAAGGCTTGGACGCCCGTTAGGGAGAGGTGGGTTAGGCGGGGGCAGTTGTTTAGGAGGGCGTGGATGCCCTGTGCACTGTTAGCACCCAATCACGGGGTAAAGGATTGTTCAAGGCTTACCGCAAGGGTGAGAAGCGTGCAGTAAGAAAGATGCACGCGCTCAAGAGAACTAGGGCTCATGGACCCATGATGTCCAGCCAGCTTCGGCTTCGCCAGCGCGAGGATACTCCTGTCCGTGATGTTTGCGCACTTGACCAGCCCTATCCTCTTCAGCTTCGGCAGGTTGGCGAGCTGATGCACCGAGTGGTCCGTCAAGTTCGCGCAGCACGCCAGGTCAATGTAGCGGATGCGGTTGCACAATCTGACGAGCTGTGACACACCTGCGTCCGTTATCTGGCTGCAGTGGCCTAGGTGGATGTAGTGCAGGTTCTTTCCCAGCCTGGTGATGGCCATCACAGCGCGGTCGGTGATTCTGCGGCATTTGGCTAAAACGAGGTTTCTCAGACGGGGCGCAGAGGCTATGATCTGCTGCACACCTGCATCGCCGAGCTCGCCACAATCGGTAAGGTCGAGGATGCGTAGGCCATCGAATGTGGCGCCGTGAGGGAGATTGAGGAACGCGTTGTCGCTGATTAACGTGCAATGTGCTAGACGGAGCTCGCGCAGGTATTGGCATTCGCGGATGAGCTCGGTGACCGAGTCGTCCTCCAGTAGCTTGCAGTCGTGCAGGTCGATTTCGAGGATGTAGCGGGAGTTGTGGGCGAAGGCGATGATGGACTTGTCGGTAAGCTGCGAGCAACCGTTGAACTTGAGGCGCTTGAGGTGTCTGCAGCTCCGCGCCAGAGCCTCCAGCGACTCGTCCGTAATCTTTCTGCAGTTTGTGACGTTGAGCCCCTGAAGCCGCAAGCAGTTCTTCGCTACCGCTATCATCGTCTGGTCTGTAATCCCGTCCAAGCCTGTTACGTCCAGCGCAAGGAGGCTTCGATTTCCCTCAACCATTTGTGCCACGCTAAGGTCCGTGAGCTTGGAGCAATGCGTCAGGGTGAGCCTCTCGATGCGCTTGCACCTTGAAAACGGTTGCAGTGTTCCATCGCTGACTTCGGCGCCCAATGAAGACAGGTTCAACCGCTTGACTAGGTTGTAGTAGTCGAAAAAACCATTGACCTTGCCTATCGTCCGTACCACGTTCTGTAAGCCCGGCCACCTACTTGTCTGCGGCCGGTGCCATAGCAGACCCACGCTGTTCCGCGCCCATTCCTTCGATACTAGCATGCAGCTTCGGAGGTCGCTGGATGAAGAGAGTCTGGAAAATATGGCGATCATCAACTCGGCAGGCAGCCGGCTTACGGGCGATATGCGGCATCGCTCCTGTATTTCTCGGCGTACTGATTCGTCCAGTTCTTCCTCGAACGAAGGTGCAAGGGAGGATACTGAGTCGTTCGCATGGGACATGAAGGAATCATTGTCGTCATCGTCGTCGCCAATACCTCGCTCGGGAGAAGTGGATGCGGAGGAGTCTGAATTCGAAGTGCTGGACAGGCGGCGCCGCCGCTCCTGGCGTCCTGGGCGAGTCATTAGGGGAGTTATTGCGTGGCCGGGCTGCGCAACGTCGTGGAAAAGGCGGTACATGGGACCTCTAGTGTTCAGACGATGAACGAGGTGAGGTGGCAGTTATAAGGTACCTAGAAATGCTCTAGAGCGGAGGTCGTTCTGAGGGTCGCGCGAGGTGGGGTGTTTCGAATTGCGGTGTTCGGTTCCAGATTTGGGAGATTGCGGGTCAAACAACCAGGCCAATAACGGTCAGTGTTTGTCGTCTGGATGGAGAACAGTCGCGAGCGACTCTCAGGTGGGTGCTGTAGAGACAACTGCGGGGTGGTTGGCGTAGGGCTGTGGACGGGATTGAAAGGCTCCTTCGCGACAAGGTCTGGGTCGATATTCCTTTAGCAGATGTTCGTGTCGGCGCGAAGGTGGATTGGTGTGTGTGTGTGTGTGTTGGAGCGAGCAGAGGGCAGGTGCGAGGGCGACGGTAATGTCAGGGGCTGATGGTATCACAGTCGGTTTTTGTGTTACTTGGCTGCTGGCGGAGTCGCTGGAGGGACGTGACTGACGCGTGATCTGGGCCCGCTGGCAGCGACGACGGACGCTGCAGGTGGGCGGCGTTTGGGAGCGCAGTGCTAGCTCGATGCAGGGGCAGTCCAGCGCTGCTTTCCAGGTTGGGGGCAGAATGGATGAGGTTCCAAGGCTGTCACGGTTGTCACGGTTGTCACGGTGGTCACGGTTGTCTGGATGGGTTTGCGGGAGTCGGGAGCAGAGCAGAGCAGAGCAGAGCAGAGCAGAGCAGAGCAGAGCAGAGCAGAGCAGAGCAGAGCAATCGCGAAGGCCGACGATCATCGCCGAACAAGCACGAGGGATCAACTTTGAAACACTTTCACCCAACAAGCAGACCAAGCCGCCAGGGCGTTAAGGCCAACCACAGGGCGTTGGATGTGACGCGGGGGGCATTCAAGCCTCCCCTTTGGCACAGCAGGCCCAGGCCGGCTGCGTGCCGTTGGTGCAAGCTTTCACGCCTTCTGGGCTCCCTGGGCTCCCTGGGCTCCCGGGACTCTGCTTCGACCGCGGTGAGGGCAGCTGACGGCCAGGACCGTCGGTCGAGCTGTCGGCAGGCCAAGCCAGGCCGCGCACCACTTTCAACGCTCAAGAGCTCGCTCAAGAGATGATCTCCAGCGCTCCTGTGTCTGGCCTCGCGTCTTCCAGCTTGTCTTGCATCATGCTGTGGCCGGCCGATGCCAGTTCTGCCAGATTTGTGCAGCCGACACGCGCCGATTGCTGGCCTGTGGACTTGCTTCGTCTCCTCCTCTGCTGGCATCGACCTTGAGAGCTCGCCGTCATCCCTGAAAGCATCCTCCCGCCGTGGTGGGAAACCTCCGCGGCTCTGTGCACACCCGATTCCCCATCTGCACCTCACGGGCACTCATGCGCCCCCGGACCACCCCCCAAACTCCCCAGCTTGGACACCGTCGGATGGACTCCCGAGCCTTTCCCCGATGGTCACTAGAGCGCGCGCGTCGTCAGCTGTTTGTCACCCTGCACGATCACGGGGTTTTCTCTGATGTCGCTCGCTTTGCAACGGCGATCGAGTCTTTATCCAACGGAGTAACTCGCCCCGAGCTTGAGATAGCCCTCGAATTCTAGCGACGGCGTCTTACTTACTCTACTCGAGTCTACACTCTCAACACTACGGTCTTTCGTGTCTGGGCAGTAAGATTGCTCGTATCGCCAGTCATGAGACTCATAGCTCGTACTTGAAACATGGCACCCCGCAATCTCGCCGCCGTCCGGATCAAGGCATTTACTAGCACCTAGAGGTGCACCGGTTAACTGTAGCTACAGTGCTAGTTGTCACTGTTGGGACGCGTGGAGATGCAGAACCCTGGTTACTACAACCTCCACGCGTCTGGCCCGCATTCTTAAGATAAGGCACCGAGGCGGTGTGGAGAAGCTTGTCACTACCTCAAATCTCATACCAACCGGGCCGTGGAAGTGGTAGGCCGTCTCATTGTCGTAGGCTTGAACTCCGTAGACTCCAGTCATCACCCCAGAGTACGGACTTCAGAAGTATCAACCTCCAAATTAGCCCCTTGCCAACAACTCAAAGCTTTTGAGAAAAGGCTCATTGACTGATCAAACACATCTGCGCAGAGTTCACAATCCAAGTAGCTGTTCACTCACTTGAAAGTATGTATGTATGCATTATCATTACTCCTTATGTACCTATGACCCATCGTCAATATCAACCATCTCGCTGCCTGCACAAACTACAACAATTGCGACCCTATAACCCAGCCACCACCCTCAACCTCCCCGCCTATACACCTCCATCTCACCTCTAGTGATTAGTGTCCGTTATTGCAGGGTGTGTACGCTGCACGATCTAATAGGTTACAGAAGCGCGTTTCCCCGTTTTTAACCAATGGATAGGCTCGGATACGGAACAAAACGCATGACAGGTCACCTGCAGACGAGCAGGGTATCCATCGGATGTGCAAAGGAGGTGTATGGAATACCTCATTGGCGGCATGGAGCATCATCCTGCCGCGCTGTTCCCGCAGCCGCGCGACTATCGAAAGGCATGACCAATGACGCGTGCGGCACAGTAATCGTGAAGCGGATCATGCGTCAGTCTACCCCTGCTGAGCCTCCGCCGCGATGGAATATACTGCTGCCCTCGCCGGCCCTCGATCTTCTTCAACGTCTATCACTGAAATAATGGCTGAGCAGACCAGGCCCCGCGCGGCACAGGCTGCACCGCGAGAATCAACAGACGACGGTGCCCCATCACGAGATGCTGCTACAGAAACCAGGTGTGTTTTCTCTGAATGAAGAACAGAGAGCTTCATGGAAATATCCAGCTGGTTCTTCACTATTCAGCTATGTTCACACAGGCCGTCCTTCGTTACAACATGTTTCTCTTGTTCAAAACCGCCTGACAGTGTAGCTAGTAGCGCCCACTGTGTCCTGTTGTCCCTCTGCGCCGCTTCCTACGTTGCTTTCCACGCCGCTTCCTACGCGCTGCTTTCTCTACCGCTCCCTCTGCGCTGCTTTGTATGCTGCTATCTTTACTTGAAACTATTCCACCAACATGCCTTGACACCGCCTCAATCCTGCGTGGAATGGTATACGTGACCAGCTCTCTCGCGCGGCGTGTATCCGCAAGTATATATGGGCGTAGAGCCATGGCTTCGTATCAATCTATAGCCCTCACTCCACAAAGCATACAATCACACTTTCAGATCTTCACCCAGCCTTTCCATATTCTGTTAAGCATACAAGCATTCAAGAGTCTAAGCACGTGTCGAGAACCTTGTCTATTCGTTTTAACCAAATCACAATGCGTACTCCCACGTTCTTTCTTCTCGTGTTCGGTCTACCGGCCACCTACTGTGCGGCAGCTGATACGATCCTCCTCGGCCTCAGCCAGCGCTCCCCCCAGACGGCTCCATCCACTTCCGAGGTCGCCAAAGAGTACCTCATCTTCCCAAAGAACGGCACGGACGAAGATGCGCTTTCAAAGACGGAGGAATCCATCAAGAAAGTCATCGAGTCCGAAAAGGTGTACTCACTTCGTAATGTTAACAAAAGACTTGTATTCTGGATTGCCAATGTCACCAATACGCAGCTCAATAAAATTCGAGAGGACGACGGGGTTCGATCGGCGGAGGAAAACGTCATCGCTTACGAAGAAGCCGCCGCCTTACTATTGCCAACCACTACGGCCCAGTCATCTACCTCGATTCCTACTAAAGTCAAGAGAGACATATCGTTTGCCACTCAGACCGACGCCGTGGACGAGCTAGTGGTAATTAGTCAGCCAGAGTAAGTCATTCCTAACAAACTTGCGATATAGCTTTGACTTAAGTTGATGAACAAATAGTACTATTCCCAACCTCGACGACCTAGCGAATCCAGATGATTATGTATACGATAGTCGGGCCGGAGAGGGAATGTTTATATATTCTCTCGAAAGGGTTAGTGACAAGTCCGCTAGAATATCCAGATACAAGCTGAGATCTAATCGTGGACTTCGTCTAGGGTATCGATGCATCAAAAACAGACGTTAGCAACACTTAGTTGTAATCCACTATTGTAGCTAACATAAGACAGGAGTTTCCGAAAGGTCGAACAGATTTCTTGCAAACGGAGCTATCTAGAAAAGAGAAGCAAGATCCGGCTACTGATGAGAGCGATGATTCACATGGCTCGTATGTTGCTTCAAAAGCCACAGGCACGGAATACGGCTCTGCTAAGAAAGCAACTCTAGTTGTTGTTAAGATGAAAGATCGCAGTCTAGGCGAGATTATAGCGGCCTGGATCTTCGCCTTACAAGACATCAAGGACAAACAGCGCACAAAGAAGAGTGTTATTACAATGTCACTATGCAGTATAGACCCGGTGGATCCGAACAACCTAAGCGACGCGCGAAAAGAGGAACGCAACGCTATAGAAGAAGCGTTTAAAAACGATGTGCCGGTTCTAGCCGCAGCTGGCAACAAGGCTGAGAAGGAGAGACCGGATGGCAAACTGCGAGAAGAAATTGACACTGCGCCGGCCGTGTACGCGTCACCCGACTTTCCAATAATTGTCGTAGGCTCCACAGATTCCAGTGGCAAGCGAGCCGCAACTTCCCAGGGAGGAGATAAAGTTACGCTTCTAGCCCAAGGGGTCAAAGTTGTGTGTCAGGGCAAACCCTTCGCGCCGCGGATCATGAGCGGCACCTCATTTTGTGAGTCCGCAACTACTCAATGGGTTGCATTTCCGACAGGGTGATTAGGGGAAGAACTAGAACTCATAGCTAATTTTATCACTAGCAACTCCTCTAGTGGCAGGTGTCTTGGCTACGTTCCTTGCTGCTAGCGAGCCTGGCATTGACACAAGTACGGGGAACCTTGCGGCCAGTGCGAAGAAGTTCCTCGCAGAGGAAGCCAGTTGGGTTCGAACAGGGGGTTCTCGAGTCGTACTGGAACAAGGTCACCGAAAAGGACAACCCAAAAAAATCCGAGTCTCTGTCCGGCCCAGCATGCGCCACAAAGCCGGAAGGGAAAAACGTCAGGGATTCCCACGAGGAAGCTCTGATCAAGGCTGTCGGCTACTTCTGTAACGCAGATGCTGCAACCACTGTCCCGGTGGGCCCCGAGCTCAATAGGACCGTTGAGGTCGTGATCGACGGCCCAGCCAACGCAGCGCACTACAAAGCGCAGGACTGGAGCAATAAGAGAGACATCGATGACGTCTGTTTTTTCACTCTCACGACTGTGGACGACTGCGAGACCCCCCGTAACGGCTACAATCTCGCTAAACCTCTCGGTGACCACACCTGCAACGACATACTATACCGCTCCTGGAAAGATTATGAGTTTCTCTCCTTTCCGCCACTCTCAATCGCTGACTGACCGCTTCAGGCCCCAACGAGGGTCGTGGTAGGCTAATCCAGGCGGGCTGTCTGGTCTACAGTGTCAATACTCTGTTCTAGTCTTCGCTGTTAAGACAGATGGAAGCCTTAGAACGGTTGCGGAGCAGTCGGGTCGGGTTGTATCAGGAAGGATCAAGTTGTGGATGAGTGCTTTTTCGGAAGGCGTTTGTTGTCCTGCTTTCCAGAGGAGTTGGTCGCTGTGCTTAAGAATTAGTAGTTGCAAACCCACCAGCTGAACAATCTTTTTAGGCTCCGTTTCTTTGATGGTGAGTGACATCTTTAGCCGCTCCAAATTCCAATCGTGGAGCTTCCCGAGCTCGTCCTTTGCTTGTGCGGGTTGACAATCATAGTTTTCTCGGAGGACAGCGTAGGGAGACTGGCAAGATTGTTCTCTAGAAAAGTCGCCACGCTCATGTAGGGTCTCACGTGGAAGAAGCTTGTCACTACCTCCAAGCCAATTATTTGAGGGTGTGTTATTCTAGTGTGCTCAGGCTCCAGACTTCAGCTGCATTTACATAGAATTCACAGCCCAAGAAGTTGTTCAACACTCGAATACACCGTATGCATGCATCATCATTACTCCTTATATACCTACAATGCACCGCCCCAACATGACCATCTCATTGACTGCACAAACCACGACAAGTTCGGGCCAAACCCAACCCCCACCCCCACCTCACCACCTCTATGCCGCAAACCTCTTCGACCCCTCCACAAGCCCATCCCCCAACTTACTCACCTGCGCCCACCTCGGCATGAACATCCTCACCTCCTCCAACGCCGGAATGACCCCGCTCTCATTCGCATCGCTCCACAAACACACGACCCTTCCATCCAAACCCTCTCCCTTCCTTCCCTCCGCCTCCGCCTTCCACTTCACAGTCACATTCCACCCCCTCCCCCACTCCCGACTCCACAGCCTCACCTCCGTGGAGCCGTTCTCGCCAACAGCCTCATGCGTCGCATCACTCGCCACCGAGCCCTCAACACGCAGGTCCTCGATTGAGCGGTCGAAGTACAGCCGACACGCTCTCGTGTTCTTGCCCTTGAGGCTGATAACCGCCTCCGTCACATTCTCCACGCGCGTGATGTTATAGCTCAGCCAATCCTGATATCCCTTCTCGAGTGGAATCTCCGGATGCGCCAGGGGCACGACGTTTGGCGCAATGCCCTCCCACATACATTTCGACAGCCCAGAACGAGCGGCGTAGTCCGGCGCGCCGCACCTTATCTCCTGGCCCGCTGCTGAGGGCATCTCGGCGACGATGTCGCGGACATAATCTTCCAGCCCGGTAAGTGAGACGGTGTTAATCCCTGTGTCGAGATCGACGTGCTGGACGAAATAAACCTTCAAGCGGGCATTAGGCGAGAAAGGGAATGCGGTGAGGTTATAGACGCAGGTACCGACGGCGACCGAGAACAAAAACGTCGGGATCTGATAACCAAACCGATGCACAAACGGCCCGAGAGGCGCAAGCAGAAGCACCGAGAAGACGGCGATGGCGAGGTAGATCGGTAGCGGCGGGCTGCCGTCCGCGGGAGTTTGGTACAGCGCTGAGGTGAGGAGGAGGCCGGTTTGGCCGACTAGGATCAGTACGATTGGGGCGAGGAGGAGGAACTGGAAGAGCCAGGTCCAGCGCGGGAGGTAGCCGGACCAGGCTTGTTCTTCGCCGTAGGGTGGCGGCAGGCTAGGCTCTTCCTGAGCTATGGCGTCGTGCTCGGTACCTTCGTCCACGGACTGGCGGTGGTCGCCGTAACGCGCGAAGCTTTGGTTGGGGTCGCCGCGGAGGAGAGATGTCGTCTCGGTTGCTTCGTCTTCCTCGTCGGTTCGCGGCTCATCTCGTGGTTTTTGATGTGCAGAGGATGATGTGATAGGCCTGTTTGACCTGATGCTGCCAGTATCGTGAGTTAGAGGGGTAGCCTCATCGATAGGCCGGTGCGCTTCATCGATGATGGATTGTTGCTGGACATAGGCGGACTTCTTTGGTAGGGCGAAGAGTTCTAGGTACGAGATGAGGAGGGCTGCAAAGACGGCAGCGAAGTATATGACCATAAAGTAGCCGCCGGCGATCTGAAACATGTTTTCGCCCACGGTCACCGCAACTAGAATAAGATACGTCCCGATATACATCCATATAAGCGAATAGGTGCGGAACAGGGCGGATGGCCGCATGGCGTCGGCACCACGGAGGATGAACCAGGTGATTGAGAACCATGTCGCGAGCATCATACTGTTACACTTGGTCAGCAGTGTCTAGGCGGCTAAGGTTTGAATGATGCTGATTTTATTGGAACTCTGTCGGATAGTCCACAAAAATCCCATCTTGCCCAAGGTCCCAGGGGCAAGGTCTAGCGTCCAACGATAAGAGAGTTTGGATGGGGTGCGCAATGGCACGGCCAGAGCTCTGAGATATATTTGTGTTGCTGTTGAGTAGCTTGTACAGGCACAAAGTCTCTGACAGTGGCAACCATACACAATCCCGATCATGCGCCGCTAGAGCCATGTTCGAGCAACAAGGCCGAAGACGCTTGCGACTCTTCTAGATATACATCGACACAATATAATTTGAATTGGAACGGCCCTCTGTAGACACCTAAGAGTGCGTGCAAAGACACTGCTGGCAATTGGGAAGAGAATTCCATTATGACAAAAAGATGAGGTTACGACGGGTTCAATGGACACTGAGGTTGCTCGTGGAAGGATTAAGCAGTCGATTTTTGTGTGGAGCGCGATTTTTAGTGTTCCATACGTGTAATGAAATCTATCGTACCTCCAGATTGCATATTGACTGCTGTACACAATGTAGGGATTGATCTTGGTTGTCAGGTAAGACAAGCCAACGACGGCAGCTGTTGACACAACGAACGCAGTCGGAAATCGGAAGAAGCCGCGCCAGCCATTCAAGTAGACTGGCTCGTCGTCATCCGACGAATGGACATACTTCTTCCGTGAGAACAAGTAATACTTGTCAACACGGCCAAGGATGAAACTCAAGGCGATAAGAAGTATAGGGGTCACAACCAGTAGGGTCACCGATAGCGCGAACAGTGTATGGAGGCGGAAAACGGCAAAGGCCCGACCGAAGATGTCGAACCACACGGCGTCAGTGCCATGTCCGGCATTTACCCTGCCTTTTCTTACGCTGCCTTCGCCATCGAACTCAGAGCTGGTGTCGGATGCCAACCCCTCAGTGGTGGCGATAGCAGCGGAAAGCATGTGCCACAAAGAGTTGACCGACGTCTCCCGGGCTGAGTCTTCGGTTGTGTGGTATTGTGAACGGGGCTCAAAGAAGGCTACATCAAGTCCGCGGAGGCCCAATTCTCCATTGAAGACGACGTAGTCCGTTTGGCTACGAATCAAGCCGCGCTCAAAGCCATCTCTGCTCACGACATTAGCAAACGGATATGGGCTCTTCGTGTAAGACCTGGTGACTTCTGTGTCCGTGCTTCTGAACATTGCTGCTCGACCTCCGGCGCCGGCGCCTTCAAGGTTCAGGAAGGTATGCGGAAATTGCGAAATTGGATGCTGCATGAATGCTCTAGCACCGTTGAGGTAATCCTCTTCTCCATTGTTCAGCAGAGCGACGATGCCTCTCGTAGGCCTGTTGCCTGGGCTTGTGAAATAGGAGATCAATTGAAGAACGGTGACCGTCCCTACGCCATCGTCCGTAGCACCGTATCCGGTAGACACACTGTCATAGTGGGCATTGACAAGGACACCACCTCTCCCTGAGTTCGGCCTAGAGGTCTTGAGACTTTTGTGCATGTTCCACCAGTCACTTTTGTCGTCCTCGGTGCCACGAATGTAAACCATAATGTTCGTTCCTTCAAAATAAACGCTCTGGTTCGCAGATGACGTGGAGAAGGTGACATTGGAGGTCATGTCATTGAACACAGTAACTGGAGCTGGGGCGGTCGTGTTCTTGGCTGTTTTATATGAGTGTATGCCTCGCCTTTGAGCCTGAGTGCTCTCCGTATTCCACCGTATGTCGTTGCGGCGGAGAATCGCCTCAATTCTGAGTAGCAGCCAGTTGCGGACATCGTCGTTGCGGTGGCTGTTGTAGGGATGGAATCCATTAGAAATCCTCTGAAGGTCTCCCCATGCTTCTGTGATATTGATGCCCTTGAGCGGAGTGGGATCCTTAGGCGCGGGCGGTACTACGAGGTGTGTTGCGAGCAGGCCAGCGACGAGGCCGATGTAAATGACAGTCGTGATGACCGTAACCGGCAGAGGCGTAAAAGCGAAGGGATTCCTCGACTTTTGGTGAGCCATGCTGGGCACCGAGCCTGTGATAGTAGTCGTTAGACTCAGGCCAGTAGAGTGTTGATTGATGAGTTGATAGTTGGATTGGCCAAGCTGTACCTGACACCGTAGCGAAACTCTGTACGGAAGCTAGCAGACACGCCGTACGCACTCCTCCTCACACCGATCGCGTGTCAGAAAGAGGCGTAGTGAGATACATGGTGAGCTTGATCGAGGACACCTGCCCGTTGGCGGGGATGCTTCCTGCAGAGCTTCTGTGATCCCTGCATCGTCGCGCGGCGATTGTTCCGCCCCGAACCTTCAATCCTGCTGTCTCAACTTCAACCACCTTTGTATGCGGCTCGACTGCCAGCATATGTACGAGCAACACCGTCGACAAGGCGTCAGGGCCAACAATGGGTGTTAGCCCTGCAGTGATCCTGTCCATACCGAGAGCAAGCCCTGAGTGACCGCGTCCAGGAGCTTCCAGAGCTCACTTTCTGTTCGGCACTTGACGGCCGTTGTTTTAGACACAGCTAACAGCGACCGATTGTGGCTATTCAGGACACTACTCCGCGAGCTTGGGGGCTCCCGCACCGCCGGCAAACCTCATCGCTGACAGTAGATCTAAGCCTCCGGCCGCCTCTTCGCGCATCAAGCCTCTGTACCCGGCTTTCAACTGGCACAGGCCTGATATTGACAGCCGCCTTCGAGTGGCAGTCGCACGCTTACCCGAAGGATCGATTACGTTGTCTAACATTACTCGGTGCGAATATACCTTTACCGACTTACCTTCTCCTTTATGAAATCACGTCCGAGCAGCAGTATCTTGAGGAGATGCACCGGTCTAGTAGTGTCCTCTAGTCGATGCATCTGCCAGCAGCTCCTGGCCAGAGGTTCTGCTGTTGCTCCAGTTGGCCAACGGTCTTGCAACGGCTGCACAATGTCGTCTCTTGCAGAAAGCCGCTCTATGCTCCCTTTGGAGCCAACAGGACATCCCCACTGCTGTCTCAGCATCTCTCGTGGTCTCATAGACCTGCTTGGTCGCATACTTCCCCCTGGACCTGCGATCACCCTTTCTGTCGGCAGCGGTACAGGGCTACTTGAGTCACTGCTTGCCGAATGCAACCCCCATGTCAGAGTGGAAGGGGTGGAAGCAGAAAGTAGCATCAACGAGTATATCCCAGAACAGAACATGCATACCGTGGCTGGAACCTGGGATCTTTGTTCAGCGGCCGAGGAAGCCGAAGCCTGGCTCTTTGTTTACCCAAAGGAGACGAAACTTATAAAGACATATTTGCGAGAGTAAGGAAACAAAGAAATGTTGAAGACCATTGTATGGATGGGGCCTCGGTCAGATTGGCAAGACTATAACCCAATGCTCAAAGACTTCGGCAACCTGGAAGTGTATACTGGGGGCAATATAGTCGCTGAATACGAGACCATGGCGGTGCTAAAGAAAGGATGAAGCATGTCATGTGCGAATTGTCAAGATCGACTAACATACATGGTGTCTCCTTGCAGGAGATGACTGATAGTAGTAACACCGTAAGCAAGCTGCGCAGCGGCCCATGAGAAGACATACGCCCCGAAGAGAGCTTCCCAGGCTCGCCAAATCGAACCTTTCCCTATCCCCCTTGTTACCGCTCAGACATGTGTCGTTTGCTGTCAATCCAAAGCATCTTTCATGGCCACGAAGTCAATCCAGTATCCGGCAGCACTTCCTCCGCTTCGTCTTCCATACTCTCAGACTGATCTTCGTCGTACGTTATCCCAGATTCATTTCGAGTCCATGCTCTTCTCCTGTTCTCCATCGTGTGGCTTTCCGACTTGCCCTTTATCTCACAATCTGCGGACTGTTCCATGGCTCGAAAGAGGTGCGTGGCTCTCCCGCCGGCACGTCGTACCTGACATCCTGGATCGGCCGAGGTTGAAAGATCAAGCCTGCCGGTAGTCGCTGTGTTGTGCCCCAAGCATACTCTTCACCCGGTATTGGCGCCCCGATCTGCACGTTGACGTAGCGGAACCAGGCCGACCGTTGGTTGTGAAAATTCCGGCTGCTTGTGAGAAGGAAGTCTAGGCCGAGCGGCTGACAACAAAAAGACTCGACCTGGAGACGTCGAAGCGCTTTATCCACGGCCGTGAAATGCGCGTACGCGCTGCCGTAGTCGCGGACCTCAAAGGCCGCCGTGCCTGCCAGGAAGAGGAATATTGGATTCCGCGGCTCCATCATCACCGCCTTGCGGAATACCTCGTACGCGCGCCAGTCTTCGCCTGAGTGGTAGTATACGAGCCCGAGCGACGACCAGAGACACGCACGATTCGGCAGTGTGCTTTCGTCGGTTCGGCGGATGATTCTGCGGAACAATATCTCCGCCCCTGTCCACTCGTATGTCGCGAAGAGGAGGCTGGCGTGCTCCCAGAGGTCTATCACTTCGCTGGTGGTGAGATTCGTGCGGGTTGGTGGTGCTGCTGTGGGGTCGCTTTGATAGCGCCTGTGGGCGCTGGCGGCTGTGGCATCAAAGCGTACGTCCTGCTGGAAAGCCATGGTGCTGCGAGGAGGGTGTTGCTAGGGTGGCGAAAGAAGCAACGGGCGCTTTTTGCTGGTTTATGGAGAATCTTGTGAAGTGTTTGGTGGTGATTGGGACTCGAGATTTGCGGCTCGTGATCGCATCGTCCTGTCATTGTCCACTGGGAGCACCCGCCGCCGATTACCGCAATTATCCTCGACCACGCTTTGCAAAGGCTACCTGGCCATTCCGTTTGCCAGCCTACCAGTGTATACCGGCCTTTGCATCCGAATTGAAGCCTTATCAGGATATGGGAGGTTTGGATGTCTCACTTTCGAATCCCAGGCCGACTTCGCATGGACAGTATCAAATGCTCCGATGCCGTCCTGGTCTTCAGATCCACGCTTTACCATTGCTCTCTCACTCACCGATCGTCATGTTTGCGGCGCTTCACACCTCAGTGCCAATTAACTCAATGTCTATCGGGTTGCAACTCAGGCGTTTGAGCACACAGCTTGTTTGGGTTAAGGTCTCTTGCTGTATCAATCACTGGGGAGCGCTTTTTTTTACCAGCTTCACATGTGTCACCGGATACTCATGATGCCGGACGAGAAGACTTTGATTATGGGCGCATGGCTACCAACTAGTCTCAATGCTGTGCTTCAGTTCTCACCGAACTTCCTCTCCTTCTCCTTCAGCTTCTCCATCAACTTCTCCCGGCCCGCTTCCTCCGCAAAGCTGACCACCGCCTCCCACTCCGTCGCCTCCACTACATTCTCTAGGCTCATGCCGTCCTTTCGAGCGAAGAACACAAGCTGGTTCACCATGCGGTCGACGAGGCCGTTCTCCTGAGGGTTGCCGCCGAAGTTGTCCCAGATCGTCTTGCACTCGAGAATGGTGACTGATCGCCAACCCAAGAGGTCGTGTTGCAGCTGTTGCTTGACGTGGTTGAGGCTGCGTAGAACTTTCAGAGCCAATGCCGCGCGGTAGAGCTCGATGACGGGGAGAAAGGAGGACTGCCGGTGATGTCAGTGAGACGCGCTGAGCCAACAGATATGGTTCCCACTCACCCTCGCCGTGAACTCCGCTTCGTAAGTGAGCAACCTAGTCTCCTCGGTCTCGCAGCTCCGCCTCATCCAGTCCAGCACCTCGATGATGCCGTCATCTGTCGCCGACCCCTGCGCGAGCACGAGCCTGCCGCCATCCATCTCGCCACTGAGCTTCTGGCGCGCGAGGAACGAGTACTTCTGCAACAGCGACTTGGGCGCCGTTGCGATCAGGCGGTCTGCGCGGCCGCCGCCCTGCGCCATAAAGATGGCGGTCTTTGGGCCCTTGAGTCGAAGCTGGCGCGCTGCCAGCCTCTCGTCGTCGACGAAGGTTGCGGTACGGAAGGAAGACATTGTTGAGGCGTTTGTGAAGTGAAAGTGAAGATCTATGCCGGATGTCAGTGTTTGGGAGAGCCAGCGACGAGGGCGTGAGGTCTCTTGGTGGTGGAAGTGAAAAGCCGGTTCGGCTCTGAAAGGTGACGAGATCTATCTATGGCGGCGATTGCGAGAGACACAATACTCTGCCAGGTGTACGAAGGATCCATGACGCTGGTGAAGAAGGACTTACTTCTTGATTGGAGCTTTGAACAATCTTTGTGAGGTTGTTTCTTTTGTGAAGGAGAAAAGAAGATAGAGGGTAGAAGTTGAGGCAGAACTTATAGGGGAGTGAAGAGACGTCGCTTGCCGCGCTCAGACCACGTGAGTTTGCCGCCTTAACAGGCAACGAGACGCGATTTCACCCTGTGAATGAAAGGGGCGCGTTTGTGGAGGTAAGCGGCCCCTTGTATTGTCCAATCCTACAGTCGGTCATTGTAGTTGTGAGACCCGTCTACAGCCGTTTCACATCCGCTCATCCTTCACCTCAACTTCCTCAAGAGCCATGACCTTGAAGCGAGTGGCTGGCCGCTGGCAGGGCTTCACCGGTATATAGCGGTTGATCTGCAACCGATACTTCACGTTCAGCACGGCGCTGGCATCAGCACCTCGCTTCATAAGAAAGTTCTTCGCAACGTATAGCAGCCTCTTTCCACGCCCTCAGAGCTTCCTATCATCAACAACCGTCTCTGATTCCAGTCGATCATCAAAGCTGAACGTCAACCACGCCACGTGTAAACACTTCCACCAGCCCTGCGTCGTACCACTGAGGTCATGAACAAGGAGCCAGTTCTGACGCCGGCTCAGTTTGCCAAGTAGGTGCAGAAAGTTTTCGTTGTTGGCTTTGTTCAGGCTGACACCCTCCAGGTTGAGAGCCGGCACGAGAGTCCCAGTATATATAGGCGAGCCTGGAAATTCCTACATCGCCATCGAAGGCGCGTACAAAAATCTTCTATGCCCACTTCTCAACCTTTTGCAGAACAGTGCTGATCACACGGAACCAGCAGCGTGTCACCCTTCACCATGTTCCGAAGAAGTACGTCGTGCTCATATACCGCTGGATGCTGGTAGGCGGAAGGCTAGCCTCCGACATGCATTTCGACACGGTGCCTATCCTAGAGCTTATCAGCCTCTACCGTCCCTGTATCAATATGGATGTGGCTCAGCTCAGGGGGATTACTGCCGAACGAATCCGCTTATTTCTTTAAAACATCTCTCCAACTATCAGCCAAATCGATCACGTGTATCGAAACGCAAAGGATTTCATCAATACAGTTATCCAGAGTACTGCCCGCCTCCTCGCCAACCCACTCATCTTTGGCGCAACTTCATACTACGAGTACACTGAGCAGTGGTCAGAGTTTAATGAAACTCTCGGAGCCGCGATGGAGGAGATCCTCCTGGCCCGACGCAAGGTGGTCGAGTCTATATCTGCGAAGCGCAAAAACCGCTACAAACGGGCGGTACAGTCTACCAAAGCAAACCACAGCGCTCCCACAGACGTCTCTGGTTCATCACCGAATGCTATCTCCCAGGGCCAGCAACCCAGTCGTCATCGCTGCCGCCTTCGGACCGATAAGAATGCCCCGGCCGCCGATGCCACGGAGCAGGTCGTCGAGACGGGGGAAGACGCAGCGCCAACCACCACTCGCAAAGCTCGACCCAACTAGCGTGCTCGCCGCGCTAACACACCTCGTGCAGCCTATAACAATGCTCTCCACCTCGTCGGGGTCGCCTGTAGTGGTGGTAGTATCACGACTTCCGCTCGCGAGGTAAGCTAGCTCTGCTCTAAGCTGCTTCTTCAGACGACTGAGACTGATATTCCTTAGGCTCATCGTGGGGAGATGACCCGGACTAGTCTCATCATCTAAGGCCTTTATGGCGTTGTTGACTTGGAGCGCGAGTTGCTGGAAGTGGTGATGCTTTAGCTTAGTGGAGGGTATAAGGCTAGGGGCACTCTGTGCTGCGGCCTTCGTTCTCATTTTGGCCTACCAGAATAGAGGATGTTCCCTCTGCGTCACTACAACCTTAGATGTGCTGCGATACACGAAAGCCACGGAATCCTCCGCGAGAACGTGCTTGCGAAAGACTCAGGCGAGCAATTGTCTCAAAGAGGAAGGGAGATCCATTCCATTCCGCTCCCAGCTTGAGCACGATGAGCGCGTTGGTTTATCCGTTCAACCGGATTCCTGTGCGGTATACTTGATGTGAAAAGGAGTAATTGCCGATCACTGCTCTCCTCCTGATCGTGACGCCTAGTGAAGCAGGCTCGCATGTACGTCAGCTACATACTTGCGTATACCACAAGCTTTGTGAGAGCGGGAGGTTGGTTGTATCAGAGTTTACTCTTCTAGTGTGACCTCGATCTCCATACTCGAGAGAACGCGGTTGTGTAACGGTAAAGAATGATGCCTAAGATCGTGAAACAATTGTAACACTCCGTTTCATGAATGAACGTCAGGTGATCGCGAGAACTCGGCGTAAGATAACTATCGCGGGAAGAGTTTCTAGGGGACGCTCTACAACCAAACTTCGGATGCTAATAATCCAAGCAGTCGGAGAGGTAACAAAACGTCTAAATGACCAGGAAGCTGCGCTGAGAGTTTGATAAATTCAACAAACAAGGCGGAAAGGCGAGACCCAAAGAATCCGAGTAACCGCGACGTGCGACATCGTGATACCTCACTATTAAACACTCTTCAACCTCTGCTCAGTCATTGAACACCATGCAACAACTACCTCAAACCATACCTACAGAGATCGCCGTCGGTTCATTTCATGGCTTTGATAGCGAGCCTGCGTCACTGGACAATCACGTCGAAGCGATTGTCATCAAGCGGACTACACGGAAAATCATTCCAGTCGTAGTGTAGAATGTGTGCGTGCGCTAAGAAATCAATACTAGAATGTCAGATAAAAAAATAGAGGTAGTGGTACAGAATCTTTCGCGGCGCAGTCCTTCGTGCAGCTGCAGGCAGAGCTGTCATATCAGGATGGCGCGGCTGTCGCGTCAGTTTTTCCTTTTTACTTATAGTCGCTTGCAAAAAGTGTGGCTATTTGGAAATAAACTTTAACTACCCCCCTCCCCTTAATTATTAAAGGGTAAAACCACGTTTTACATAGTAATCTAATATTTAGAATATAACTTAATACAATTAAAAGATTTAGTAGAGCTATAGCTATCTAATTAGTAGTGTTATATAGCTAATAATCTACTAGAATATATAGTCTCATAGTTTCTTTAAAAGTCTATACAAACGCGGATAGTAGTGTATAGGCTTATATATATACTACAAAATCGTATATTATAAAGACTAAAAAGAGTAGTAATATTATATAGTTAATAATTTATTAACTATTAGATAGCTATAGCTATACTATATTTTTTAAGAGTATTAAATTATATTCTAAGTATTAAATTATTCTATAAATATAGTTCTAGTCTTTAATAATCAAGAAAAAAGGGTAGTATAAGATATAAAGAGAGCTTTAGGCTACTTCTAGACTTTCTACTAGTAATAGACTAGCTAAGCGAGAGTATATAGTAGATACTTCTATATAATAGAAGCTTAGTAGAACTTAGTCTCCTATTAAACTAACTATATTATTCTATCTATATATACCCTATCATTATATTATTATATTAACTCTAAGAATCTATATTCTTTAATAATTCTAAATTCTCTACTCTTACTAGGGTAGTAATCCGGTAATCTATTATATAATATTAATATAACTATAAAGTATAGATATTCTAACTAAGAAGTTCCTTTAATAGAATATAATAGAATCAGATACTAATTCTTCTTTAGTAGAAATACTTAAGTAATAGGTATTACATAAGCTTAAAGCTAAGTGTATATAACTTCTAGAAAAGAAATAGCTATATATTCTTTAGAAAAAGATTAATATTCTTTACTAGTATAATACTAGCTAAGTAATAGCTTCTGCTATTTCTTCTATTATAGATATATTTCTAATAGAAGGGCTAAATATATATAGAGCCTTAGCTCTATAATTAATTTATAGCGCTTCTAGAGCTATAATAATTTAAAATAATACTATCTCTAAACTAAATACTTTACTATTATTATATAAGTATAATACTAGTAGTATAGTAGTAGAGCTATATGCTTCTAAATAAGCTACTATTATTATAAAAATCCCTCTATATCTAGAGAAAAATATCTAGAAGTATTAAGACTTTTATAATAGTATAAAGCTAGTATTCTCTATAGCTTCTAATACTTTTTAGAATAATAAAACTAAGATTGTCTATACAATTTAACATTTTAAAAGCGATACTTAAATACAATAGTTTTAAGATAAGAAGGCTAACTCTAGACTTAATTCTATATAGAAAGAGTTTATAGATTTTTTATTAGATTAAGTTAAGAGTCTAGTAAATAGAGAGCTATATATTAGCTTAATATATATAAATTATATAGAAAGTAGACTAGTTAGTAAATAACTTTATAGAATATCTAGTATTATTAGAATCTTAAATTAATTCTTTCTACAACTCTAGATATTTTATTTTATATTTATTTACTAAGCTATATCTAAATCTAGAGCTTATAGTAACTAACTGCTAAGATTTCTTTTAAATAAAGTAGTAGCTAGTATCTCTAGCTACTCTACTAGAGAAGAATATATATACTACTACTTATATAAAGTAAGAGTAATAACTATAAAAGGCTTTAACTAAGCTAGTTAAGTAGCTACTACTCTAAAGAGTAATTAGACTTAAGAAGAGAACTATATAATTTACTAGAGTCTTATAGAAATAATACTAATAGTTACTAGCCTAAGTACTATAACTATAGTAAGTTTAACTATAAGAGTTCTAAGTATTCTAAGAAAGATAACTAAGACTTAATACTTACTAGTAGAATTATACTACAAATAGAGATACGGCACGCCGCTAAGTATTTACTACTAAGAAATTATAAGAGAACCGAGTACTAGAGCGCTACTAA